AAACAACCATTTACAAACAATTAAAATAATTTATTATTTACATTACCACGTGGTACTGTACAGTAAAAAATGGCCGATAAGAAGCATTTTCCTTTGAAGTAGTTTTCGCTACTTTAAAGTTTTTTTCCACTTTACGGTTGTTTTGGTTAGTACCATAAACGTTCCAAATACTAAAATAATAACTTTTAAGTTATTAACTTTTTAGTTTTTAACTCATGTTCCAGTTTCGAGATTTTAACTTGCAAAGGGACTACAAAGTAAAAATAATTATAATGTAATCTTTAGGTAGCAACCGAAAGTAACTGCTACAAATTAAATTTACTTGAAAGTTTTTTTTACTTATAACATCTTTTTTAAAGTTGCAAAGTCTTCTTGGGGGCAACCAAGTTTTACTTAAATGTTTATTACTTTATAGTAACAATTTAAGGAAAAATTAAGTTTCTGTTACAAAATATTGCTATTTAAAAGTTAGAATTACTTTTAAGTAAAAATTAAAGTAGCTGTTTAGTATAATTAACTAATTTAAAGTTATCACCACTTTGGCAATGGTTTTTGGAACCAAAAATGCTGCTTGGGCCCCTATCCCTTACGTGAGATTCTAGCCATTAAACTTTCATTGTGGACAACATGATAAACCCAACAAAAAAATTGATTACTTTTTTTGACAAATTTGAATTATAATTGTTTGAACCCAAAAGTTGACGTAAGAGTTTAAATGAACCCCCCCTCCCTTAACATGGGATTTAGTAAGATTTTGCTAGACCCCTTCCCCCCTAGGGGATTTACTTAATAAGAAGTATAGTATGCAACTCGTTTATAAACTTTTCTAGACACTCATTTAATTAAACACTCGCTTTCTTATTAAATACTTATTGTTATCTAAAAAGGATTTAAATTAAATATTTGTATACAGCTACATCTATAAAACAGTGGAGTAACCATTCGAACTTCAAGTTAGTAACTTTGGAATCTGTATTACCGGCAGTGAGTAATTCGAAATGTATCCATCCCTTGAAAATGGACTAACAACCGTTTAAATGATGATATAGAAGCAGTTTTTCACAGTGAAAGTGAAAAGAATGTTTTATGGGCACTTTAGAGTGGTTGAGAAACAATTTAATACGTTTGTATTGAGATAATTAAATAATTTTTATATTTAGTATTATTTTACAAGGCACTTTATTTTAACGATTGAATGACATTTGGCAACTGTCAACCAACTTAAAGCTGACTTCAGCCCGTTACTAAAAACCTGTTGATTAAAGCGCTATGAAGCCTCAACTTGTGTATTTAAAAGGTCATGGAATTTCCATTATGGAAACATGTACTGTAACGGGCGTTTTATAGGTGGGAGTGGAAAGAATAAATAAAAAACATTACTATATAAAAACAATTTTATAAATAATAATTACTGGGTTTTTTTCATAACATTATATACAATATTAAATATATACAAAGAGGCTTTAAAATCAGAGATAGTTTTTAATCTTATAAATATATTTGTACCTAAGAGAAAGGGTAATATTACCAATTATATACAAATTGCTTAAATACAATATTAATAATAATAATAATCAATCATACATTAAACGAATTCTACAATTTTAATTTGTATATGATTTTAACAATAATATTTTTTAATAAATTAATCACTTAAAGTTTTTTATTTTTTCCCACTTTTATCCTTTTTTGTAGACTCCTTTGTGGTGGTACGTATCATTGGGCCAATCTGGGTGGATTTTTTGTCGATTATACCTATATTTTTGCAAACATATTTTTATAAGTATTTTTTTCACGCACCATTTTCTTCTAATGCTATTTTTTCCAAACATGATACATTATCTACAAAACTAGTTTATAAAAATTATGCGTCTGCACAATTTTTTACAATTCAAGGAGTCAATTTCAGGACATGGATAATACAGGACTTTTAAAGGTGGGTGTACAATATTTTTAAGTGTATTCATTTTTTACACAACAATAAAAAATGCATACCATACAGGATGTTAAAAAATAACGATTTACATGTTTCTGGCAACGAGTTCTTATACATTTATATATTAACATTAAAGTGTATGAGATGTAACACAGAAAAGTAAAAATTACGAACACAATGGAAGAAGCGAATTAAAAAAAAAATAACAAAAATAAGAATATAAAAACTCGTTTTTTTACATAGAATACCTGAATTCTATACATGGTACAATATCAAAAAATAAATAAACGAAATAAATAAAAAAATAATAAACAATATAACGAAATATATATACAAATATCGCAGATACAATTTGTAAATTATAAATAGTTTATAACCTGTAAAATATTTGTTTTAATATACATGCAGTTATTAGGGATTATTTTTCAATAAATAATATCTACTAGGTACTTATCACACATACAAATCACAGCCAAAAGTATTATTTCAGTCAAATTATCACAGACAATTCTTTAGCATACATTTTTTCAATGTTAATAAATATAAAATATCTTTATAGCTGATGATGTAAAAATATCACAATTTCGCAAATTGTTTCACTATTTCGCATTAATTTACAGGCAGCATGTTTTGCTTTATAATAAATGCATTATTTTGTATTATTAGCAGTATCGTTCATACAAAACAATCATTCAATGATACAGTCGTTAGTCGGCAACTATTTTTTTTTAAATACGGACTAGTGAATTTAATTTCGTATCTTTATCAATTTTACGAAAGCGTCGTACTGGGGTTACAAAATTATAACAAAATTATTTTTTTAATACATATATGGAAAAAAATATACATTATATTGTAAAAAAATACAATACATTGTAAATAAATTCAAAATATTTTAAAAAATCCAAAATATTGGAAAAAAAAACAAAACAATATATTGAAAATAAATCCAATATATTGGGAACAAATCCAATATATTGAAAAATAAATTTAATATACTGAAAATCCAATATATTAAAAATAAATCCTATAAATTAAAAAAAACTCCAATATATTGAAAAAAATTCAATATATTGTAAAAACATCCAATATATTAAAAATAAATTCAATATATTGAAAAAAATCCAATATATTGAAAATAAATTCAATATATTGAAAAAAAATCCAAAATATTGGGGAAGAATACAATATATTGGAAAAAATCCAATATATTAAAAAAATTCCAATTAATTGGAAAGCAATCCAAAATTTTGAAAATAAATCCAAATCAAATCAAAAATATTTATTCATATTAGTGTATTGTAAAATAATTTCAAGTATATTGTAAAGGTGTTTAAATAAAATGAACAATACAAATGTGCCTGGCACGTAGTGTTCATTGATAAAGGAAGTTACTATACATACGTTTTAACGCAACATAGCAACCCCCCTTGCCGATGTTCTGGCCTACTTGAAACATATTTCACAATTTAGGAATTGATTCGCAGCTCGCCATTCCCTTCGCTAGTGCGATACAGGGGCAATATTATTATGTTTTGTGTGTGGATATTAAGGACTGTCAGGTTATGATTTTTTTATAGATTTTTACGAGAGTTGTTAAATAAATCCAATGTATTGAACAAAATCCAATATATTGGAAATAAATTTAATACATTGAAAAAAATTCAATATATTGAAAAAAATTCAATATATTGGAAAACAAATCCAATATACTAAAAATAAATTTAATATTTAAAAAAAAAATCCAATATATTGAAAATAAGCAGTTGGCAGTACAAAATGGAAATCAACGCCGCTAGTGGGGAAAAAAGGAAACTAAATTTTCAATATGTATTTATATCCAATATATTGCAATTCAATGCATTGAAAAAAATAATTTTATTATAATTTTGTGACCCCAGTATGCTTTTGTACAATCTAGCTAAACTGAATTGATTGAAAATATTCCGACTCAATAACATATCGTTCATTCGAAACAACAATGACAAAACTCAAAAATCACAGTTTTTGAGAAAACGAATTTTAAATTTCTTATTACTGTTTTCCATTTACCAAGCCCTGTAAATACGTATAAAAGCTGGGCTCAAATATTTTGTTGTTTAGGCATACTCTCTAAAAAACAGTAATAAGAAATTTAAAATGCGTTTTCTCAAAAACTGTGATTTTTGAGTTGTGTCATTGTTGTTTCGAATGAACGATAATAATGTATAATAAAAAATATTATTTGATATAAATCAGTGTATAATTTTACAAAGATGCGACAATTTGAGAAGACAATAAAATATTTTAAAATTAGTGGAAATAGCAAAGAAAATGGGAAAACCATTTCTGACAGAACAAGAATGATGAAGAGATGGAAAAAACCAAACATATTTTTTGAATTAAAAAAATCTGCAACCATAAATTTTTCAATTTGAAAAATAATTGTGTGTACTGGACTATATCTGACGCCATACTTTGTTACACCGCTCAGCTTTCAAAAGATCAAGAGGTAGTGGAATACGACCAAAACACCGCAAATAAGCAGCATCTGTATTCTCACCTTGAGATGGATTCGTCAAATCTAGAATAATCGGTCTTCCATAGCACATCAGCAAGACTAGGAAGTACTTCCAAAATCTGATTTGGACTAGTATTTTGCTGCCCACCACTCTATTCCAAGATAACAACTGAACTAATGCCTTGTGACAGGTTTTTACGTGTTAACAACAATGAAAACAGAAATGATATCCACGTATTAGGCACTAGTGGCCCCACTCGACAAGATTGTGTGAAACACAGTTTACATGCAGATTAGGAAAAAAAATCGAAAGAGTAAAATGGTAGAATCTTAAAAGCATCCAGCTCAAGACAGAAAGAACCTCATCTGTTTTGTTGCAGAGACGATAAAAAACTGATCCTATGCCAACGATTAACACTGATTTATATCAAAAATAATGTTTTTGACATCTCAAACACTCTTATTAACCAATCTCACTGCATCCCTCCACAAGACCACGCGCTAATACTGAAATAACGATAAAACTGTCGTCGACAAAAACAAACTTAACTTACAGTATTATTATCACGTCAATTGATACCTACTGATGTTGCGCGTCGCAGCAACGCGACTAAAAACGAACCTAACAAAATTTAAATATACCTGCTCCAGGCTGCGCTTGCGCCCGCCGCTTTTCTTCGACTTCCTTTTGGAGGATTTCGCGGGCGCCGAAAAGTCCGACGAAACGTCGTTTGCGTTGGCCAATCCGAGACGAAGGTGGATCGGCAGCTTGCCATCTGCAAATTTTCCACACGTTAGTCTAATTTTCCCGTAACGCGTAAAGCCTGATTTATAGATTGCCTTCCTTCCTTCCTTCTTTCCTTCCTCTCGTAAAAGATTACCAAAAGGAAAACCGTAGTGCTGTTTATAGATACCCGTACGGGAATCTATAAACAGCACTACGGTTTTGGTATTGTTAATCTTTTACAGGAGGAAGGACGGCAATCTATAAATTAGGCTTAAGTCATGTCACTGCGTCGGAGAACAGTGGATTAGAATTGCCCGAGAACGGCCAAAAACACAATTGAGAAAATCCAAAATCCAACATAAATTTTAAGTTCTATCTATAAAAAAATTCACCAATAAAAAAAAAAACATTAAAGTGAACCAAACTTTATTCAAGTTTAAATGGCTGTAATGTAATTTATTTTATTAGGCTATACATTAAATTAAAAAAACGCAAGAAATATTTTATAAAAGTAGAGATAATTTAAATAATTGACAGGTTTGGACGGGACAAGATAAATCTTTTTTTTTGTCACGTCCACAACTCAATTATTAAATATAATCTCTACTTTTATAAAGTATTTCTTGAGTTTTTTTTTATTTAATGTATAGCCTAATAAAAAGAATATTGTTGACAATTTTGATGCCAAAATATTATAATACAGGGTGAGTCGGGAGGAACGGACCAAACTTCAGGAGTGTATTATACACATGAAAATAATGTAAAAAAACTCATATGTTCTTATCCGATTTTTGTTTGTTTTCAAATTATAGCGCAAAACAAAAGTTTATACATTAACGTTATTTTAATCATAGCGTTCTGTTAATAAATGTTCGAAAATATACCCATTGACCTCTAAACATTTTCTGCTTCGTCTACGAAGAGTGCCTGTTGCTCTCCTAATTGATTGACGTCTGTCTTCTTTAATAACGGCTGCAGTATTTTGAATACGTCGAATTAGGGCATCACGAGTGTCCACTTTACTTTATAAACCTCATTTTTAAACCAGCCCCATAAACAATAGTCTAGTGGTGTGAGGTCTGGGGATCTTGGAGGCCAATTAATAGGACCACCACTACTAGCACGATGAAGCTCCTGCACATTTCGCCCGTCACGTTAAGCAACATTTGGACGAAAGATTTCCAGGGCGTTGTGGTCCTATAAATTGGCCTCCAAGATCCCCAGACCTCACACTACTAGACTATTGTTTATGGGGCTGGTTTAAAAATGAGGTTTATAAAGTAAAAGTGGACACTCGTGATGCCCTAATTCGACGTATTCAAAATACTGCAGCCGTTATTAAAGAAGACAGACGTCAATCAATTAGGAGAGCAACAGGCACTCTTCTTAGACGAAGCAGAAAATGTTTAGAGGTCAATGGCTATATTTTCGAACATTTATTAAAAGAACGCTATGATTAAAATAACGTTAATGTATGAACTTTTGTTTTGTGCTATAATTTGAAAACAAATAAAAATCGGATAAGAACATATGAGTTTTTTTACATTATTTTCATGTGTATAATACACTCCTGAAGTTTGGTCCGTTCCTCCCGACTCACCCTGTATATAATAATATTATATATAATAAATTATCTACAATTTGTTTCAATTTTGTAATCCGTGCGTTTCGCGAGCTTGAAATGGCCTTAATAGAGTATATTTTTTTTAATGTCTTTTATAGTTAAAAATATAATATAAAAAAATTAATTATTTATTAAAAATTAGTGCTGCAAAATAATCAATTTTTAACTTTAAGTCGGGAAAAATCTTTTTCTTTGGGAATCTACCGCTCTTATTACACAGTTCAACACGATTTTCCTCCCATGAAAAATTTTAACAGATTTTAAAAATAAAGGTTAAAAAAGTACCCGTGTCTCACCGTTTTACGAAATCACGTCATTTAAATTTTGTACAAGTCAAAAAAAATATTTCTGGTTTTAATTTTTCATTTTTTTAAATAAAACAACAAATTTGTATATATCTTATATTAATATATGTTGGAAACAAATCTTGATCTTTCAGTTTGACGATTATACGTTGCTTTAGAGTGGTATAACAACCTAAAAACACCACTTGATATAAACATTCGTGGTCCTTTGGAAGTTTCTTGGGAACGGTCAAAACGGAAGTGGCATTTTGTTTAAAATATTTTAGAAAAATAATTGAATAATAAACGCTTTAAATATTTCAAACCGATATTTTTTGCCGTTTCTCAGAAACTTTTAATGGACAAAGCTGTAATATTATGTGCCGAATACCGTGGATAAAATTTTATTGAATCACTTAAAAAAAATAAATGACGTGATCTAAAAAAACGCCGAGATACGGCTATAATTTTTTTAAGTCTATTTTCAAAATCTATAGGAATTTTTCATGGGAGGGGAAAATCAAGGACTTTATATACTCTAGAGAACATCATACTAGAAAAATATCAAGATCTGCAAACTAATGAAGACTTGCTTCTTAGACTTCTAGCAACCTCTGATCTATTTATATAAAAATTTAAAAAAAGAAAAAAAACGTTTTTATGTAATTAATGTAAAATATTAAAATTGGTAGTTCCTTAGGGTAAATAAAGAAGCACTTGAAACTTTTTTTTTATAAATTCTAAAGACTAAAAATAATTTATAATATCCTACCAAAAAATACGCTACTAATCTACTAGGAACTTTAGGCTAATCTGGTTGCCTAATTTAATTTATTTTGTTATGGTTGGTAACAACCAGCGTTTCCAGATTCTGTCAAAAAAGTTGCCAAATTTTGTTTAAATTTAGCTTAATTACAAAAATGACAAAATCAACAATGCAAATTGTTAATTTGGAGTTGTTATTAATTGTTTATTGTCATTTTTGTAATTAAGGTAAATTCAAACAAAATCTGGCAACTTTTATGACAAAATCTAGTGCAATTCTTACAAATTTTAGGTTATGTTTAAAGTTTAACCTGTGAACTTGTCATAATTTCATCCAAATAAACAAAAAGAAAAAAACCGATGAAAAAATTAAATTTGTGGTCATGGAGTTTTTAAAATGGGTACTAAATTTTATAATCATTGCTTAAGCTAATAGCTGGATGAGTGAATAAATACAGAAGGGCATTAGAGCTTTAAGGGCATAAAACTTTTGTATTTATTGAGTTTTTATTTATTTTATGCAAAAAATTTTTTTACAATTGGCAACGCGTAGCTGCAATCACAAAAAATATAAAAAAACTTTCAATGCATATTATTTATTTATCTTTGGAAAAATATTTTTTTAAATATTTTTCCACTACACCTTATGTCAAAAGGTATTCAGTATTTTAATACATTACATTAATTACAACACCCTGTATACAGAATTATTATTATAAGTTTTACTACAGACAAAATACTCCTCGAGAATATTCTTGTATAAACATTATTTGTAATGAAATTTATTGAAATAAATGTGTATTATTTCATTTATTTCATTCAGATTATTATATTTACATTTTAAAACAGTATAAAATTGCTACTGCTGATCAAATTAAATTAAAATATATAGAATTGTATAGAAATAAGATTGTATTATTGTATTAAAATTTTATAATTATATTTTAAATAGTTTTTTAAATAATTTAATTTTTAACAACAAAACTTTAATTATTTTAATCCTTATAATATCGCCGCTACTGATTCAATTAAATTAAAATTTGTACAGAATTAAGATTATTATTATATGAAACTAGTCTTAAATTTTTAAAGTGATATTATTTTAAAATAACTAAATTTTTAACTTGTAACTTAAACCCTTATAAAGACGCCGCCACTGAACTAATTGAATTAATATTTGTAAAGGATCTAGATTTTTTTTAATGGATTTTGGCCACTTTTTTGCCATTATAGTCCACTGTGCAGATAAAGTGCGAAAATAAATAAACCAGACTTACAGCTGCAATAAAACTTGATTCTCTTGTACACTTTAACTTTTCTGTGGGTCTTGAATGGGTAGTGAATTTTTTCGAACCTACTGGGCACGTATTCCGACCTGAATACGGCTCTTATAGAACTTCTATGGGAATAATCTAAGGGGAAGGTAAAGGGGGCAATAAGGAGAGAAAGCAAAAGGAAGTTTTTGTTTACGTACCGTTCAAAACAGTTTCTTTCTCTTTCAAAGATTTTCCTTTGAACACGGCGCCTTGCAAAGCGTTTTGCAGGAGGCGGGAGGTGTTCCCCTCGAGGGGGGCGCCCTTGTGCAGGCGTTCGGCGCGTTTTTTGCTCAGCTGAGCTCTGAGATCTCCGGCTGCAAGAAAACGAGGAAACTTGTCGTTTTGGCAACAAAAACAATAAAAACACTCACCATCAGTCCTTCCATCTTCAACATCCTCCATTTTCAGATCGGTTTCATCCTCGTTCTCCACGATAATTTGGGGATCGTTTTCCCCATCATCATCGCTCGAAACCCCCTCGATTTCAACTTTCCTTTTGGTAGTTTTCAAAGTGAAATCAACGGAATCTTTGATATCTTTTTCGTACTTGCTGGGATTCTTGATCTTGATCTCGATTTTCCTTTCGAAGCGTTTTTCCAGCGGTGGGGAGACGTGTTTTTTCTCCGACTTGGATTTTTTAACGCGCGGTTCTTCGATTTTGGGTTTCTGTTCTTTTTTATCCACGGTTATCCTCTCTCTGAGTCTGGCGGTTTTATTAGGCGGTGTTTGGCTTCTTCTCGCTCTAACGTTGCGTTTTCTGTCTCTATTTCTATCCCGTCTGTATCTCGACTCTCTGGTTTCTATCAAGGGTTTGTCGGGTATAACTTTTTTCGCGTCAGTACCGTTAACCAGCTGCGTAAAAGACAGCACCGGTACTTTTTGATTGGTGTTCTCTTTAGCTTTGAAACGCCCCTCATTGTCGCTATTGGACTCTTCATCGGAGAAAATGTGCTTGTCCAGGTTTACATCGTCATCCTCCAATAGAATGTCGTCTAGATCGTCGAAAACATCGTCATCGTCGATCTTTTTGACTTCTTCGGCGGTTTCCTCTTCCTCTTTAGGTTTCAAGCGTATTATGCCTTCCTTAACCTTTATCTCTTTATTTTCGAACTTCTTCTTTCTGGCCTCCAACACGGGATCCAACTTTTCCTCGACAACTTTGCCGTCGTCCTTTTTGCAATCGACTTCGTCTTTGTTGTCTTTCTTGCTGTCGGCGGTTTGCGCGGTCGGTTTGAGGCCGAGCCTCTCTCTCACCGACGGTTTGTTTTTCGGGGAGGTTTCCTCCTTTTTCGGGGGGTTTTGTGCGGGTTTGCGATGGTGTGCGGGCGATTTACGCGGCGACAGAGATCTGCGTCGCGGCGACAGCGATTTGCGGCGCGGGTAGAGCGGAGATAACGATCTAGCAAACAAAAGATTTAATTTTAGTTTTTAGAAGAATTATTGTTCCGAAAAAAAAATAATTAGTTATAAAGGGAAGGGAATGAATGATAATTTTAGAGCGGAATGGCTTATTAATATATAAAGAAGAATCTGTGCTGTGGAGAAAATAGAAAAATGTAATACATTGACGAAACATGGGTTAATGCAGGACACACGACATCTAACGTGTGGTTGATAAAACTGTGACTTCATCCAGAAAGGCCTTTTTAGATGGATTCACCTCGTTTGAAAAATCCATCGGGAAAAGCAAAACGGCTAATCGTCTGTCATAGCAGCAGTGAAAAAGCATTTGTTGATGGTGGCTAATGGTACTTTAAATCCAAGAAAATGGATTACCACGAGAAAATGAACGAAGAATCATATTAAAAGTAATTTTCTGACATTTTACCTCCTTTTATTTGGAATTGCCACAAAAAAGGAGATATTCAAAACTGGCTGCGGTCCAAGAAGATTAACTTTAAGGAATCAACTTTTTGCATTTGAAAACAGGGTTCGAAAAAATCATGATTAAAAAAAATCAATGATTTTTATTAAAAAAAATACTAAAAATAACTTAACTTTAATAATATTATATTGGCACTACTTTATAAACAAATAAACCACTGTCATATTTTTTTTGGAAATTCCTTTATTATTTTTTCTACTCCTATTGCATATTATTGATATTATTTGGGTTTTTTTCGTGAATAATGGTAACCAATATATCCGCCCGGCCAAACAACGGGAATATTGAACTCATTATTCACGTTGTTAGGCATCAGTGATTGGCTGATTTCAATATTAACTGTTATTTGAACCAATCGGGTTTTAAATTGGGAAAAATTAAGGTTAATAGATGTCAGATTTGTTTATACGAGGGGCGACTATAATGATCTTTAAAATCGGGGAAAAGTGAGGTTATAATAAATTTTGTTATCAATAAAAATTACTTAATTGGAGTAGAAAAAGCATAGTATTACATTCGAAATAATGCGCAATATTTACGATGATTTACGTCTTGAGATGTAAACCTTATCCTTGTGAATAATTGCCTGCATTATATCTCGAATAATATACTATTATTTAACAAAATAAGCAGTTTTTCTATGCATATGAATTTATTCAAATAGTGTCAAGATATTATTGTGCTTTAGTTTTAGATCTTGTAAGTGTTTTTTTATATTTTAGAAACTTTATAAAACTGATTTAAATCATTCATTAAAATAAAAAAAACACTTAATTTAAATCGTTGATTTAAGTCAGGCGCAGTTAATTTTAGTCTGTCTGTTAAATGAAAAGACTGTAGACAATTTGGACTTTTAAATGTTGGGCGCCAATAAACAGGGTAAGACTTTTACGAAAAAATGTTTAAAATAAAAATTAAATAATTTGAGGAGAAATAAATTATAACCAAACTAATTACCCATACTCTTATCCTTATAGGGAGGGCATGGGGTAATTTTAAAATTTCCAATGAAACGCCCTATTTTTATTGCAGATTTGGATAATTCGACTAAAAATAGGTAGATTTTGTCTAAAACACTTTTTATATTTGTAATAGATGGCGCTGTAATAAAAAACAATTTTGTTCTTCTGCCTGCTTCATAAATCAAAACCATTTCTATTTTTTTTCCACTATCCATTATGAATACCTAACTGCTCTAAACTAAAATTTATTTTGGTTGTTTCTAAAGGTTATTTCGTTTTTTTGCACCCTAGGAAAAAAAAATGCCAATTGCGCCTTGGAGCCGGACTCTTTTTAGCCTTAGGATAACAAAAAATAACAAACAAAAATTACACTAGTTTTAAATGTAAAACTGATATATCACTTTTATATTTTTATTGAAAAATTATTGCAGAATGGTACACAGAAGAGAAATCGAACAAAATTGTTTTTTTTATTAAAGCGCAATCTTCTACAAATACAAAAAAAATGTTTTAGACATAATCTACCTATTTCAATTTAGGTATTTAATGAATGATTTGATTTTTATTAGTTAGCTTTTTTATTTCACGGAAAAGACCTTTCATTTCAACTTGACAATCTCTAAAGACTAATCGTCATTTGTGACAGTTGTGACTGTTGAAATGAATTAGTTTGTGGAAAAAATTACATATTAGACTTTTAAATGCCATTTGTTCGAAATAAAACCGATCATTCCGGACACGGTGGGCGCCAATATGTCAAACTTGTAACTTCGCCGTGTATGGGGGGATTTGAACGATTTTTGCGTGGTGTGGTGTGATTTTTCGTATAAACTTACCTTCTGGGCGACTTGGATCTCCTGAACCCCCTGCTGCTGGGCAGAGGGGAGGGACTCCTCGAATAACTCCTCCTAGGCGACCGTTTCCTCTTCTCGACGATCTTCCGGTTCTCCAACACGAATCTGGCCGAGCGCGGACTTAACGGCGCCATGGCAACGCTCTGCAGTTGTTTCGTATCGACGTTCAGCAGCGGCAGCGGAGGGGGGAGATCGTAGGGGAAGAGCGGCGGGGGATTCCCCAGGACGACGTTGCTGTTGAAGAACGGCGGCGGGGGGAAGTTGAGGTTGCACTGCTGCGGCGGTACGAAGGGGAGGTTTTGGCGGAACGCGGGGGGGAAATTCTGCGGGGGGCGGTTGTTGAGGCGGCGGGGGTTGTTTCGGCGGTTTAAAGGCGACCGAGACCGCGACCTTCGCCTGTAACGCGGCGGCGATAATTTTTCCGCGGGTTTGAGATTTTCTTTCGCCTGCGTTTCTTCCTCGACTTTCACTTCGACCTCTTCCACTTTAACCTCCACGATTGCTTCCTTGTTAACCTCAGTCTCGCTCGTCTCATTGGCCGACTCACTAACCTTCTTTTTCTTCTTTTTAACCTTCTTCTTCACCCCTTGCTTCACCTCTTTCGGTTTACTTTTACCCTGAATCTCGTCGTCCAATTCCTGCATCAAAGCCTCCAAGCTATCCGCTCGTTTCAACTCGCCCTCCAAGACGTCCTCCTCCTCTTCCTCCACACTCTCCTCTTCCTCCTCCTCCTCGGTATCCTCGCTCTCGCTCTTATCATACCTACTGAACTTCGAGTTATCCTCGCTTTTTTCTTCTTTAACGTTACCGGTATATCTATATTGAGGTAGGATAAGTTGCGGTTCGTGGTTGGTAATTTTGTTATCCGTAGCGTTTTGATTGGTGGCGCCCTCAGGCGGTAGGGTGGGAATCGAGATCAGGTTGGAGTTGCGCGCGCGGTTGCCGTTGTTATACGGGGGGAATTGCGTTGGAAAGTCTCTCTGAAAAGAAGAAAATATTGTAATGTCTAATATTGACAATATTATATTGTCCGAAAAAACGTTGAAATTTTGTAAAAATTAACTAAAAAGAGTGTTTTATTTGATAGGCATTCATTTTAAGACGCGATTTTTTTTCGTTACTGATTCTTTTATTTTCTTAACAAAGATTTTGTTTTTTTTATATTTAAATTATATATATCGATATATATACAGTGTGTCTACTTAAGTTAACAACATATGTGAAACTTTTTTATTATTAATTTTATCAGATATAAAAAAATTCAGTCGTATACGCGGTTTGTCAAAAAAATATGAATCTTACTATAACGAAATTGATCAGAACTAAAAACTACGTTCAAATATGATAACTTCCATTTAAACAATGAACATTTTTTTTCCATGTAAATTTTACATGGAAAAAAAATGTTCTTGTTTACAATAACAATGCAAATGTAACTCTAGTTACATGTAATCTAGGATGCACTGACAAACAAATGATTTATTGATAAGAAATGTTTGACATTAAATGTCAAAACATCAGAATTTGCTTATTGCTTTCTGAACGGAACGGAAAGGTTATCATGTTTGTAATAAATAAAAAAGATAAATGTTCAATATCGGTAATTAGAGAAAAAATTGTAAAAAAAATTAAGTAGAAGGATGTAATGCCATATTAAAACATAGTTTTTACTTTACTCTTGCATACCAAATTCATATTTTTTGTCAAACTTCGTATATGACTGAAAAAAATTGATATCTGATGCTTTTATTTTAGATTTTAGAACATGCAGAACTTTTTATAAAGAATAACTTTTCTTTGTAAAATTAATTAATAATAAGAAAGTTTCCCATATGTTGCCAACTTAAGTAGACACACAGTATACAACGTTGGTTAAATTAGAAAAATTTTGCGTAGTTACAACTAGAGTTAGGGATGGTCAATTGACCGCTACCTATTTGACCGGTCAAAATATATTTAATTTTTGCAGCATTTTATTTAGGTATCAACAATTACCCGTGAATCTCAGAATTTTTGCGATCGTGCAATATCGACATCATTTACAATTTGGTGGTTCCCCGAGTCGAGGAATGGCTAGGCCGGACTCGGCGCTTTGCTCTTAAAGCGGGACATAACTTTTATAATAAAAAAAAATTGGTAACGTATTTTAATTACCTATTTATTAAGCACAAATAAATCACAGTAATATATATTTTGATATTTTATTAAATTTTTGGTCAATTGACCAAAAACAATTTGACCGGTCAATTCCACAATCCTAGTTACAACCCTATTAAAATGAAATTTATAAATTGAATAAGAGCCCGCGGTTTTCAAAATATTTGAAAAACTAAAAACCTCTTTTAAAGCCCAAAATCGTTATAACTTCGTAATTACTGGGAATTTTAAGAAAAGTAAGTATTACATAATGGCCACCACCATAACAGTAGTTTGGTTTTACTTATCTAACCATGGACAATTTCAATATGGCTGCCATAGTAAAACAAAATATGGCGGTGGTATCTCCTAGTATGCAAACAAATCACAAATTGAATGAAAATTTGAGAATTTGAGAACCACTGTTTTTTTTTTCATTTTTGAATGTCATTTTAATATTTTTCACTAATTTAACAGAACTTGTAGCTCTTCAAATAAAAATGACAGAAAAATATATTTATATAATTTATATTAGGTATACTAATATATAAATATATTTATATAATTTATATTAGGTATACTAATATATAAGTTTATGGTTATCATTTGATACGTTTTTTTTCTTTTTCCAAGAGTTCAGAAAAAACAGTTTTTTTTATTTTTCCCGTTTTTTTCGGAACCTTTAAGTCCCCAATCCTTACTATCCTAACTAATATACAGTAGTCCCCAGATCAGGCCACCAACAGGAAGAACTTTTTTATAATGCATTGTACAAAAAACCCATTCTTCATAAAACCTCCTGGTTCTTAAAATAATAAGATTTCCAAAAAGGTTTTTCAAATTAAATGTAAAGGGTGCTCAGAAATTCAGAAAAAATTAAAATGCTATGAGAGAAGTAGGTACCTTTATTTACCAATTTATAGACATTTTTTATAAGGGATAGTCATTAACAATTTAAATTTAAGTCTAAATAAAAAATATTTTTTTAACATTTAATTAAATAACAAATAGAAGAATAATCATTTGTAAAACGTATAATGAAAGTTTTTCCTATTGGCAACCCAATCTGGGGACACACTGTATAAATTCGAAAGTTTGTTCATTTTTGTTTTAAATTTTTTTACTTTTGCTTTTCTTAGCCTTTTTTATTCAATTTACGTGATTATTGCAAAATACGGAAACAACGCATATTATATCCATTACATTCATATTACATCCACGTGTAATCTGGGTTGCCTATACTCTTTAGAGACAATTACAAAAACTTTTTTCGACAAGTAGTTTTCAAGTTATCAAGTTTAAACAACTTGGCAAAGCTGTTTCTGATTACACATCCATAAATGGTTGTTATGGAAACCATTCAAATAAGGCAGATGAGTCATTCCAAATAAAAACACCAAATGGGGTGCGCTGCGTGATTTTTTATTTTGATGAAAAAATTTGAGGATGATCTTTTAGGTGTCAAATATGAAAATCCGTTGCCGTTTTAATTTTTTGTTGCTTTACTTTTATTTGGCACCCCTTAGAAGTCTGAAATAGTGTCAATTTCTTACTCTCTTATAGTGGGCCAGAACTTTTTTTCTGTGACAAATATTTAATTTTGTTTTACTGTCCAGTAAGTGTGTTTTCAATATAAATTATTATTATCCAATTAGTTAATCTCAATGGTAAACCACTAAAGATTCATGATAATTTGCCAATTTTTGTGATTTTTGTCTGGCTCCTGTGCCTATTCTACTGAATTTAGAAGGTTCATTTTTTTCAGGTATAAAGTACTTATACAATAGAAAACTTAACTATTATTTTAAGAATCTAGACTATCAATTTCTTTATTAAAAAAATTATTGAAAATTGATAATTCTCAAAATTAGCCAATTTTGCCCTCAGAAATCATTATGTTGAGGAAAAAATAAAAATCTGAAACTTTCAGGAAATGTAGTCCCCACCTTCATCTTTTCAGTCCAGTTAGTCTTGTTTTGTTATTTTTATTCCTTTAAAAGATATATTAATTTTTTTAATGCCCGTTTAGTAGCGATATTGTTAGTTTTATTTATAATTTAAAATTTAGATGGCTTTCATGTTTGGTGGAGAAGTGTCAGAACTGTCAAAAATATTTCATAAATATTATTTGTGCGTATTTCTTTGGTAAATTTTGTATATAACATAATATGTCATATTATGTTATATATAAAACTTTTAAAATCACCAAAGGAATACCACAAATAATAATTATGAAATATTTTTGACAGTTCTGATATTTTTGGTAGTTATGTTATATTTTATGTATTGAAAAATCATATATATATATATATATATATATATATATATATATGATTATATATTATATACATTATAACGAAGTATTTAATTGGCTAATTGGTGTTTAAAGAAGATAAAAAATATATTCAAGATCCTTATGGTTTATATCGTTAAGTAATAAGTGAAATTAATAAAGAGTTAATTTAAACGTATAAAAAATGCGTTAAGCAGTTTTTTGTCGGTTTCTTTCATAATTTAAACCAAGTTAGTCTTGTTCTATTATTTTGATCCCTTTAGTAAGGCACTAAATAGTAAAAAGTTAAATGTATGTATTTTAAATGTTAGTGTTGGAAAAAATTTACACAATCTGTAAATACTTCTTTAAATTTTAGTTTTTAGGTAACTGGTTAAAATAAAACATGTTATAATAAAGGGGTTTATTTAGAATATTTTTTGGTTTTTGCTTATTTTTAACAATTTAAAACTTCTCAGAACTTAAATATTTTCTATAAGAAAGAGGTACAAAATTATGATATGTTCTTGCATTTTTAATTGCAATTAAATTCATGAATCTCGAACACTCATTTATTACACTTGCAAATTTTTTGAAATCACAATTTAAATATGCACAAATAAAATTTATGAAATATTTTTGACAGTTCTGACATGTCTCTAACAAACATGAATTGACAAAGTCAAAGCCATCTAAATTTTAAATTATAAATAAAACTAACAATATCGCTACTAAACGGGCATTAAAAAAATTAATATATCTTTTAAAGGAATAAAAATAACAAAACAAGACTAACTGGACTGAAAAGATGAAGGTGGGGACTACATTTCCTGAAAGTTTCAGATTTTTATTTTTACCTCAACATAATGATTTCTGAGGGCAAAATTGGCTAATTTTGAGAATTATCAATTTTCAATAATTTTTTTAATAAAGAAATTGATAGTCTAGAAACTTAAAATAATAGTTACGTTTTCTATTGTATAAGTACTTTATACCTGAAAAAAAATAACCTTCTAAATTCAGTAGAATAGGCACAGGAGCCAGACAAAAATCACAAAAATTGGAAAATTATCATGAATCTTTAGTGGTTTACCATTCTTTTATGAGATTAACTAATTTGATAATAATAATTTATATCGAAAACACACTTACTGGACAGTAAAACAAAATTAAAATTATTTCAATATTTGTCACAGAAAAAAAGTTCTGGCCCACTATAAGAGAGTAAGAAATTGACACTATTTCAGACTTCTAAGGGGTGCCAAATAAAAGTAAAGCAACAAAAAATTAAAACGGCAAGGGATTTTCATATTTGACACCTAAAAGATCATCCTCAATTTTTTTCATTACAATAAAAAATCATGCAGCACACTTTTAAATTCATTTTTGGTGTTTTCATTTGGATTGACTCAGATGCATCAATTTAAATTCATAAACAATAAAAAACAATTTTTAAAACCAATATTGATAAAAAAATCTATTTCATAATTTTTTGTTGGTAAACAAAAACACCCCAATCAATAGAACTTCACATCATAGACAACTAAAGAGGGCAGCGCTACTCAGCACATAAACAAAACAATAAACCCACTAATAAGTTTTATTAGTGGGTTTATTGTTTTGTTTAATTATTTATAAAACAAACCTTGTAACTATTAAAACAAAACACTCAATACTCACTGGTTTCTGGTTTTTGGCGCCTCTCCCTCCGAAAAATCTGCCCCTCTTGTTGTGCCCCTTCGGCCTGTTGTACCAATTGGGTTTGTCGTGACTTAAATCGTTGCCTAATTCGGCGTTTTTCTTCTTCAAAGATTGCAATGCTGCCAAACGTAAGGCCTCCAAGTCTTCTTCGTCGTCAGACAAAGATTTCTAAAATAAATAATCGAGTGAAAGTAAACAAGTCATATTAAGACTGAATTTAAGGTTAATTCCGGTTCAATTTGTTGAATAAGTGATTTCAAATATTATATGTTGTGTACTTACTGTGTTGGTTTGTTCCATTATTTAGTTTTTAAAGCGTTTTAGTAGTTTTAATCAAAATATACGTTTTAACAATATGGCGTTGACAATTTCACTGTGTAGTTGGCTGACCTGCCGTTAGGTGGCTACCAACTGCATATACCTTTTAAATGCCAACTGTTTTATATAAAAGTCACTATATTTGTAAATTTTCATAAAAAAAAATCAGGTTTTAACATATATTGATAGATTTATAGGTTTTAAATAAAATTTTGTTTTTTAGGATTATACAAGTACCCATATAAATTTATTTTAAACTTTTTAAATCAATTTTTTTAACTTTTCAAGGTTATTGACAATAACTTATTGTCCGTGTTGTGTCAGCACTGACAGGTAGGCAAATATACTCGTATAGGATATTCAAACACTGAAATTTTTGGGAAAATGTTTAAATGTGTTTTTCTTTAAAAGCATTCAAGCTAAACTATTTAAATTTGTTGTGCAGTTAAAGGTAGATAAGATCAATAATTTGTACAAATTTAAAAATTCTAGCTCAGCCAATTCTTGAGATACAGGCAATATAGTGTGCTCCCAAAATTGTCCACACTATGAAAATACTATATCAAAAATTTATTTCAAGCGTCTCTGCTAAAACGTTTCCAAACTTGTCATAATTGTGTGTTCTTCGACCGTCGTCAATCTAGAACCCAGATAACACAATACATGCCAGAAACATACAATTTATGTACTATTTATGCCCCAATGTTTCGGACTTAAATCGTATATCCCTGCGATGTTTCCTCAGTAACATTTCTGGTGTGATTTCCCCAAGATGTTGCATAAACATTTTAAATAGCTGATATTGGTACAAATATAAAATAAATTTATATCAAAACACATAACACACTATTAAAAAAATAACCAATCAATTTTTAGCAAAACACCAAATTATTATACTTTGTAATTTTTAAATTGACCGCGAACAATGACGTCGTACTAGTTACTTTTTAAGTGATTTTTACCTGGGGAATTTTGTTTTGTTTTGTAACCAACTTGTTACAAATATTAAATAAATTTAAATCAAAACCATAAACCTATAGGTATATGATCAAAACACATAACACACTTTATTAAAAAAAAATAACCTATCAATTTATCAAAAACACCAAATTCTTATAATATCAATAACTTTGTAATTTTTAAATTGACCGCGAACAATGTCGTCATACTAGATATTTTTTAATTGATTGTTACCTGGGGAATTTTGTTTTGTAACCAACGGCATCTCTGTAGGTTCGCGGCTTTTATTGCCAAGAATGACATTTCGTAAAAATCGAGAACGTTCTGTGGTCTATGGTCGAGAATTTTCTTCTCGTTTTATAATGTGATCACAGTAATTTAAGACTTAAATTAAATTTTAAGTTGTACACTTTAAGTTATTGTTTTGTGTGGGTGGCCTTAGGCGTCTTTTTTGGTAAGTAAATTATGATGATTTGGTAAGAAAACATTATAAATATTATTATAATTAAATTCTATATTAGTTTCTTTTTTAAGGTTTTATTTTTTGTGGGTATTGGTGGCAATAACCTGTATGATTTTATTTCAGACCAGGGCACAGTGTGTTAAATTAATTATCTAGCTAGACAAAACCTAATTTAAAAACAACCTGAAATAAAGACAAATTTTATTAAATAAGCTTCTTCAGTTCTCCCTGTTATGATTTCCATTACTTAGAGCGTACTGCAACAGTGTATTTAGCACTATGCAGGCGCCAGTTCCGGGCGTATCATTTTTTATAAACATACTTAGCCGTGTATGCGTTGCAAAAAGGTGGTTTGATTTTGACATTGTGTCAAGTTAAATCAAATTTTGAACTGTGCAGCTATGGATCTAGGTATATATTACTTATTTTTTATTATTAGGGATTTATAATATCAATAATCAGCAACAGGCTATAGATATAGAAATTCACTTGGTGTTATTAAATATGGACAATATTTATTAAGCAAGAAGTATGGTAATCGAGCAATATCGGGTGCACTATCAATATTTGTTTTGTTTTATAACGTCTACAGATTACTGATGTGCCTTTATTTATTGCCCCAATTTGCCTGTTCTACAGGGTGTAACCAAAAACCGACGCACTCCTTCTCCACTAGTAAATTTTGGAATAGAGTTGAAATTTGGGAGTAATAATAAAGAGTTAATTTATAATTATTTCAACCTTCAATGGATACCACCCGGTATCCGGTTTCCCCGGAAATAATGCCAACTTTCGTTTTCTCAATAAAATACTCTGCATATTTTTGTATATTTTAAATCAGGAGAAAATTTTGAATTCAATAATTACACTATCGCGGGATTTTTAAAATGATCTTAATTTTTGTTGTAATTTAAGTTTTCCATAAGTGTAATTTTAGTGGAAAACAGTAAACAACTTTTTATGACATTGATGAGTTTTGATTGGGAAAAACATATGGATTTTTAAAAACATTTGTATGGTATTTAAAAAAGTTGAGTTAATTAAAAAAAAAACAATTGATCTGCAACATTTACTATTTATGCATTTAATTGCAAATTTGGATGGTAAAAATAATTGATTCCTCAAATTGCAGCTTTCTGGATTAAAAAATAAAACTTTAAGGTCAATTGCAAAATGGTAGCGAATGTGCATCTATCAGATTCAAAATGTTCTCCAGATTTCAAATATACAAAAATATACAGGGTGTTTCTTTGGAAAAACGAAAGTTGACCAATTTTCGACGAAACCGAAAGTTTATTTTTTATTGCAAGGCGCCGGCCATTTCGTAATGAACGAATTTAATTTCTGCATTTTGGATGTCAGATTTGGATTCAGTGAACCCAAATTCCCCGTTTACAGAGAAAATTTATAATTTTTTATTTCATTAAGGTTTTGTCTAGCTAGATCATTAATTTCACACACTGTGCAGGGGGGCGATTCTCGAGTTGAGAGAACGCTATTCTCATGAGAAGTGGGCGTGTTTCACTTAGGTTTTGACAGGCTGCATTCTTAAAATCATGCAATAGTTTGGTTCTCCTAAAGCAGAAAATAGTTTCCGAGAGAAGAACGCATTAACTTATCTTAAATTCAATAATGCAGCCTGTCAAAACTTGAGAGAAACGCCCACTTCTCCTATGAGAAGCGTTCTCTTAACTCGAGAATCGCCACCCAGGTCGCACAACAGTTTTCCTTTATTGGGAAAAAGGGCAAAAAGATTTTAGCCAATCCAAGATTTCTAAAGCTGTTTTAGGTAGGTAATAACTCGTCGAATCCGCAAAACCTCGTATGAAAAAAACTGTAGTTTTACACGAGACGAAAAAAACATTAAAAGCTCTCATATCTGGCTTTTTTTAAATATACCTATAGGACAAATTAATTTGTTTTTAAGGGTCTTGAGATTATCTTGGGAGATAAGAGGTTTTACAATCATGTGCATTATTATATGAGGTAATTATGCAAAAAAAATCGATTTTGTCAAAAATGTCTTAAACAAGTTTTTGCGGATTCATCGATGAAGAGTTTTGTAAATTTTTATCTATTTATTTTTATTTATGCGTATTTTCGGTTATGTTAATGGTTTTATGTTAATTAAATGATAAAAGTATTTAATGTTTTTTATTTAAGGAAAAAACCTATAAAAATTACATAAATGTTTTGTTTGAAACATTTCTGTTATGTTCTGAAAGTAAATATAAAATGTCTTAAAGACATACCTACAACATTCTAAGATGATCTCAAAACATCCCAAAAGGATGGCCGAGGGACGTTAAAAAGGGCGACATGGTCATTGCCAGAAACATTTCTGGTATATCTGTGGGAAAATAGGGTCATTCCTGGGATGTTTCTATTGTCGCATGCATATGTTTCTGGCATGTTTCTAGTATATACTTGTGTTATTAGGGAAAAAAATGTAAAGTTTATTCACACACTTAAAAAGTTTGTGAAATTTTTAAACGTGTTTTTATTTAATACTATTGAAGCTAAACTATTCAAATTTGGTGTGAAGTTAAAGGTAGTAAATATCTACAATTTAAAAATTTAAAATTTCTAGCTCAGCTAATTCCTGAGATATAGGAAATATGGTGTATTCCCAAAATTTTCCACACTATAGTGAATATATGAACATGCTACATAAAAAAAATGTTAAGCATATTTCATGATTTCTTTTTACCTTTTAACCTAAAACGTTTCCAGGATAATATAAATAAAAATCACAGTATACTTATTATTTATATTAATTAACTTATTATATAAATGCATTTTTAACTCTTAAAGCCTATTTTTTCAACTTTTCACCGTTTACGTTTTATTTTACTTTTGCTTCTGCCTTTTTTCTTCTTCCTGCTGTCTTTTTTCGTGGTTTTTATGGTTTTAGGTGCGGGGGGCGCGTTTATACCGGGTTTTTTGGGAATAACCAAATTTTGTTCCACAAGGTCCCCCAATTTGCCTTGTTGTGCCAGCATGGACAGAAAAGTGCAAATAAACTCGTCATAATTGTGTGTTCTTCGACCGTCGTCGATCTAGAAAAAAAATGTTTAGTCTATTCACACACTTTAAAAAAATGGGAAAATGTTTAAACGTGTTTTTCTTTAATAGGTACTATTAAAGCTAAACTATTCAAATTTGGTGTGAACTTAAAGGTATACCTATAGTTAAGATCTATAATTTGTATAAATTTAAACTTTCTAGCTTAGCTAATTTTTGAGTTACAGGCAATATAGTGCATTTTCAAAATTTTCCACACTTTAAACATACTATATCAAAAATTAATTTTAAGTGAAGGTATATTTTTTACCTTATACTTATTTTGTTTGTCATTTTCGTCCTTCAAAGACATTTCGCACATGCATATTTCACTTTCCAGGTTGCGTAGCAAGGCTAACAAGTCTTTTGGCGCGAAAGTGTGCGGTTCCAGAAGTTCGTGCGGTTTTTTTTCCGCCACCACAGGATCACCATCGCTGGTGCGCACCCTGGCGTGCACTCCGCACGTTTTACGTTCGAGGTTTTCAATTGTTTTGTTTTCTGAAACGAAACAATGGTTTGGAGTTTTTAATAAAAAAAATCCGAAAACCCACGATACACAAAAACCGGTATGCTGATTATGAAACGAAAACTCGTCGACTCCGCGCATGTGACGTCACGTGCGAACCAGATTCAATTGTTACAAACAGTTTTGCATAGACACGGGTGTTTTACTACGATTTCTTTTGAGTTTTTTTCCGAAATTATTTTTATTTTTTAAAATATGCCACGCACGATGGTTTTGCAACGGTTTTCGTAAAGTTTTTACTGCATTTTTTGAATAGCAATAACTATTTTACAAGGTATTTATATACCAAGTTAGTGAGATATGTATTATATATACAGGGTGTCTCACCAGCGATGGTACCTTAGACGTTTACGGAGAACGGCTGAGGATATCAATTTGAAATTTTTATAGTAATTATTGTACAATTTAATCTACCTTTTAAAATTATTTTAAATAAAATTCCTCTTCCGGTTTTACCGGAAGCGACATCAACTTTGTTATTTCCAATGGAACACCCTGTAATTTTTTTTATTTTTAAATTCCTCATGAAATTCTTAATGAAATTGCTGTACCATTCTCTATATCTAAACTTAAACGTTTTCGAGTTAATAATTTTTTTCGTAAAATTTTCAGTTGCACCTTCATTAAAAATTGCTTATAACTTTTTTGATATTCGGTTTGCTGGTATGCTGTAAGGATTTTTGGAATCTTAAAACATTGTTTTAAAGGTTCCATGTCTGAAATTTTCATATTTATGATCAAAAACTATAGAAAAATCGTGGTAAATTTGGTTAACTTCAAACATTAATTACTTGTTTATTGTCAATGGAACGGTATGCATGTTTTTACATAATCAAATAGGAAAATTATATTTCGATTAGTATAACCATTCCCTATACCTAAATAGTAAGGTTTCGGAAATACAAGCAAATTTCTGTAAAAATCCAATATTTTGACATATTTATCTCAGATAGCGATGAAATGTCACAACGGAATCTCCCAGGAACCGCATTTTAAAATGTTTGCAAGTCAATGGTCGCCATTTTGAACATTTATTAAAATAGTATTTTGGTTGTTATTTTTTCCATCACGTTTTTTATAATTTATAATAATTAAATTCTTAAAGCTTTGTTTAATTGTTGTTTTCCATTATTTTTAAAATATCTTCCTTAAGAAATGTATCAACTGTCAATCAATGACATAACTAATTTGCTGTGACATTTCATTGGTATCTGAGATAAATATGTCAAAATATTGGATTTTTACAGAAATTTGCTTGTATTTCCGAAACCTTACTATTTAGGTATAGGGAATGGTTATAACAATCAAAATGTAATTCATTTTCCTATTTGATTATGTAAAAACATGCATACCGTTCCATTGAAAATAAACAAGTTATTAATGTTTGAACTATTAAAAAAACTATTAAGTTTAGGTATAGGGAATGGTATAGCAATTTCATTAAGAATTTCATAAGGAATTTAAAAATAAAAAAAATTACAGGGTGTTCCATTGGAAATAACAAAGTTGATGTCGCTTCCGGTTAAACCGGAAGAGGAATTTTATTCAAAATAATTTTAAAAGGTAGATTAAATTGTACAATAATTGCTATAAAAATTTCAAATTGATATGCTCAGCCGTTCTCCGTAAACGTCTAAGGTACCATCGCTGGTGAGACACCCTGTATACATATAACTTAATAACACAAAAAAAAAAATTACTCAGTTATAATCATTTTTTTGTCTTTCTTGCAAAGAATGTTTGTAGGCATGGTCGAAATCAATATTATTTATGTCAAATTTTTTTTATTTTGTCCGCTGTAACCACCATTCTCACGCCATCGTCCCTAAACCTTAAACATATAAACATTTTTTTAAGGCATAAGTACACACCACTATAAGTACACAACTGCCACTAAGCACAGAAACCCATAGATTATAAAAGAAACCGACTTATAAAAAAACGACATTAAATAGCGTCCAAAGACTTGTTTGTTTCTTATGATGGCTTCTCAACCATTCGAACAAGGACTGCGTACTAGGTTTTGCGATATTTTAAAGTATTGGGAATAATCAATTAGCAGATTTCTTTTTAGAATCTCACACTGGGAATGCCCAATTAAATTCAATTCGAAATTACCTATGGGTAGCTTAAACCAATCGAATCCACTAAAAAACAGTAGAATCCTAATTGGACTTTTCCATATTTTAAAGTATTGGGAATAACCAATTAGCAGATTACTTTCTACAATCTTACACTGGGAATGCCCAATTGAATTCAATTGTAAATTACCTATTGGTAGCTTTAACCAATCGAAACTACTAAAAAACAGTAGAATCCTAATCGGACTTTTCCATCATGGAAAATACCAGTAAAAACCAATTTCTGTTTTATATCGCTCCCAATTAAACCCATTAAGTCCAATTTAGACCAATTGATACCAACCAATACTTCAATTGGTTTCTATAAGGAATTAATCGGTCATTTACAACAGGGAAGGCTCTAACCGCATATTTTTTTACAGCTCGGTCCTTACTAATAATAAAAATTAAAACACAATTGTATCGGAAACCCACTTCAAAAGTGTCACAAGTAAAAAAAGCAGTTTTGAGATATTTTTTTACTCTTGACACTTTAAAGCGGGCGTGCGTTATTATTAGCTGTATAAATGCATTTTTACAATTTTGTTACCTTTTACATTCAAAAAATGTAAGTTATGTTAATTCAATTAAATAAAAAATATTTTGAAAAATAATAATAGGAAGGTAGGAAACTAACTGTTGCTTAAAATATATTACATTAGTATTAAAAGCGCTTGATGCCAATTTAACCTTCTCTTAACATTTGTGACACTTAATAATTGTACCCAAGCCGTCCATATATTTATAAATTTTTGAATATAACGTGAATTTGCAGTGCAAATAACATTCCAACCCAGTTACCCGCCAGCTTTTGGTTCGCACATGACGTCACACGGTGCGAGAGAGACAGCTATAGCATGCGCATCAGCTTACCGGTTTTTGTGTATCTCGTGAAAACCCTCAAAATCGACTCACCGGCATTGACTTCACCCTCCATCCTCAAAACCACGAACCGCTTCAAGTCCCTCGAGGACGGGCTGTTTTGCTGCGTCTGATTGGCCCAGTTCCACGCCTGCGTGGGCGAATTGAAAGCCGAACCGATGTCCGAACTGGTGTCGGTACCGGAAGTGCTCGGAGCCGGTGACGTCTGTATCGTTAACGGGGTTGCATAGTCCAAGGGGCACAGCGTCACTTTGCTGTTGCTTTTTGTTGCCGAGGAAGTTTCCGGGTCTTTTTTAGGTGGTTGTAGAGCTTCTGTTGTAGGTGGGACTGAAAATATGTTTTTTTGACGTTCTAAAGTTTGACGTTCGTCATAATATAGTCGCGGCCAAATCCAACTTTGAATTGTAAAGTTACTGCTGTTAAATTTGCTTTTATAAATCGTAACTCTGATGTGTTATAAAAAAATATCAATCATTTGCGTATTGTTTACCAAGAGCTGTAACAATTTTCCTATTTTAAAACGTTTTTTACGAAATTATGAAAAAAAATCGTTCACTTGGTAATTTTTGTGTGTGCCAGTTGCTAATAGCTTAAGGCTGGCGCGCACCGTTCAACATTATTGTTGGGTCACCGTCATTTTATATTTGACGCTTTTTTGTAATTTTGACATTTTGCCTGTATCGTTCGTTGCAGATTATTATAAATAATTTTATACATTGTGTACCACTGGATTGTGCAAACAATGTTATAAGGCTTGTTGTCAACGCCAAGAGTTATTATATTGCGAAGACATTGCGCCCTTAACAATAAATTTGGAAAAATAATCAGACTCCAAGTCTGACCTGGTTCACTCAGCCGACAAAGACCATTGGTAATTTAATATTTTTGTGTTTCTGTTAATTTAGTATTTTTTTGTTATTTATTTATACATATATAAATAACAAAAATAATGATAGTATTTTTTTGTTATTTATATACATATATAAATAACAAAAAAATACTACATACATAAATATGTAATAAAAATGTAATAAACTTCGTTTGTTTCCTCTCTAAACACATTTAATCAAAATCAGAATTTCTAACTTGGGAATCTACCGGCGTTAAAATCTCAAATTTTTCTGTGTAAATCAAAATTTATCCCTTGAAAATAGACTAAACTAAAAGAGAAGAGAATGTTTTATGGGCACTGTACGCAAATTTTTTAACAGTTAAATCTGGTAATCTGCAGTAATACGGCGAAATCAAAAGGTCAGTACAAACTTTCATATAATCTTTTCAAATATTGGCGTCAAGAGACTATTTAATACTTTTGTATGTTTGTATTGAGATAATAAAATAATTTTCACATTAAGTATTATTTTACAAGAAAGGCACTTTATTTTAACGATTGTATTTGACAACTGTCAACTAACTTAAAGCTAACTTTAGCCCGTGACTAAAAACCTGTTGATAAATTCAGCCTGTGACTAAAGCGCCATGAAGCCACAACTTGTCAATGCCCTTCTATGAAAAAGTTTTAATAATTAAAAGTAAAAGTTTTGAAAGTCTTACTTTCTCTTAAAAACTTTGAATAAGACTTTGTAAGTCAGACTAATAGCAAGATTTGGGAGTCTTCTAGAAGAGGTAATAAGACTTTTTGTAGAGAAATTATAGGTATACGGTATACCGTATACCTATAGCGATTAAAATATTGCAAAAGAAAACAAAGAAAATTATTTATAAACACTGTTTTTGTGTTGTTATAAGGCTTATAAAAGCACGAAAGCAATGTTTACAATAGGTATAGCTAAGCAACGTTTACTTCACATAAAAATGTAATAGGATAGAATAAAATAATTGTGCATATTTAGTAAATATAAAATATTATTTACTGAACATTGCTTTAATTATTATTTTAATCGAAGTTTGCAAATTATCCGATTTCACCCGCTTCAAAATTCTACCCGCAAACATTACGAAAATAGCCGATTTTCGAGTTGCAAAAGGCAACACTGGGTCGAACTGACAGGAGAAAGTTGCAATCCCATGACGGGCCAGCTGTGCTCTAATTGGTCAGCAGAGTAAATCGGTATTGCGTCTAGAACACGTGTTATTGTTTTTAGAACAATTGTTTAAAACAATGATTAGTTGAATATTTGCGTAGGTACCATATAATAAGTAACTATTAAAATAATACGTACAGTGGCAACAATGAAAGCAAGTCAAGCACCTTACATACAGCCCATTCAGAATAAAACCGAATATATCTATATATATATGGAGCGTGGCCTCGCCTCCCTCCAAGGCGCGTCACAGTAGCTTCTGTGATAAACGACATGACAAAAGGTCGAGCAGGTAAGGACTTAAAAAATTAAATGATAATAATGCAAAAAATGTCATTAGCGATGCAGGATATTTGCTTAGCTACTGCGTCGCCCGTTGGAGGCAGGCGAGGCCACGCCCCATATATATATAGATATATTCGGTTTTATTCTGAACGGGCTGTATCATACAGCCTGTATCATACAGCCTGTATGTTATTATATAGGTACCTAATTATGCAATAAACTTGGCTTATAGCAACACAGCAAAAAAGTTAATAACTACTTTTTTGTGTTTTATTTTAAAATAACAAAATACAACCTTTCTGAATTATTCCGGATATTAATAAAAAAAAATTATTTTTATCGCTATGTAGGTATACATACCATTTCTCTACTAAAAGTCTTATTAAGTCTTATTAACTCTTCTAAAAGACTCCCAAATCTCACTTAATAAGACTTATTAAGACTTTTTCCGACTTATTCAGTTTTAAAATTTTTAAGAGAAAGGAAGACTTTCAAAACTCTTATTTATACTTATTAAACTTTTTCAGAGAAAAATTTCCACAAGGGTGTGTATTTAAAATGCCACTTGTTACCTTCAGTTTTGTTTCCGGATGATTCAGTACTATTTCCAGTGCTTGTTTTGTCAGTAGTGTTGATTTCGTTTGTTAGCAAAGTTGTCGGTTCTTTTTTCTGTTCTGTTTGGTTTGAGGTTTTTTCCCTGATTTTCGCCAGATGTGACAACGCGTCCAACACGATTTGCTTGTTGGTCCTCAGCATTTTTAGTTTGTGGTGGATGGCTAGCCTCCTATCGGGCACCACGGCCATCAGGTTGAACCTGATCTCGTTGTACTCGTCGTTGATGCCCAGCCTGTCGGTCATGACGTTCCTGAACTTGTCGGTCCACTCCGACTCGCTGCAGGGCCCGTGATCGATGGGGAAAGGCTTCAGGCCGTCCAGCTCGAAAAGCCTGCCGCCTATCGGGACGAAGCTGACGAAGTGAAAGGCCTCGCCGGTGAATCTGCCGGTGGAAACGCTGGACGAGGCCTTTTCGAGTTTACGCTTCGCTTGAGGCATCGCGTGCGAGTTGTGCGCGCACGCGAGTTCAGGGGTGTTGCCTATCGCCCAGCCTTTGTTGTCCGGCGACATGCCGTGTGTGTGCGCCTTCAGGCGCACCAAAGTCTCCCCTAAAAGTTTTGAAGATGGTAGATTTGTTCCGCAAGAGTCCCAAACCATCTAAAACCGTCAGACGTCTGCGCAACTCTGTTCCCAAGGTTCTATTGCGCATGCATCTAACTTTTTTGAAACTCTTGTAGGAACGAACCTATTATAATCAGAGTTGCCAACTTAGGGGTGTTACTAAAGTTTTTTTTTATCTGGACTGAAGCAACGTTTCAAATTTAGGGGTTTGGTTGGTAAATACGGAACCAAAATTGGTTGCATTGAATAAATCAAACTAAATGTAATTATAATGTAATTGTGGTTATGTTTAAATTATTTTCGGGTACATTGTCAAGTTGAGTCAAGTTGAGTTGTCAAAATTCGAGGTTAAAAATGCAATTAATTTGGCTTTGGTGGTGCGTAGATAAGTGAAATCATATAAAAATTAGTTCAATATAGGTGACTACGGCCCAGGAGAGACAAAGTATTCCCAGCGGATAATAATCTTTATTGTTTTCTCTTGCTGTATTTTATTTTTTATAACATATTTTATTTATACCACAATCCACATAACAAGGTCTGTTAAAAATCAAAGGCCTCTTTAGTATGCGCGAAACAAGATAGAACAGACCTTTAGTGTGAATTGTGATTTTTACAAAATATGTTTGATTTCTTTTATTAGTTTAGCAATTTAAATAAAACATGTTTATACTCTTTTTTGCAATTATTATAAGTGCTAGGGAATTCTAGGGTTTTTTGTGACATTCTTTGGTAGAGTTTGTTTTTTTATTTTTTTACATATTTGATTATGTTGGTATTGGATGTTAATAAACTCTGGTATTTTTATCATTTAAAATTGGTACTCCTGTTTAAGCCCTTACTTTTAAATACTGACATTTGTCATTTAACTGTCAGTGACAATAACTTTACCTTTGATGAAATAGGTATAGGTCGAAAAGAGGCAAATTGACTTTCCAGCGTACAAATACACAAATGTTTATTATAATTGTGACAGTCTGTCACAATTATAATAAACATTTGTGTATTTGTACGCTGGAAAGTCAATTTGCCTCTCTTCGACCTATATTTCATCAAAGGTAAAGTTATTGCATTTTTTAACAACTTATATTTGACATTTCAAAATGTAAAAACATATTCTTATAATTATTATAATAATTATTATAACAAACCCACAATGGGGTAGTTAAATTTTTTCTGACCTATACTTTTTATGGTTTTATTCAAAGCGTTTTGTAATATTAAACATTTCTGTGAAATCAGAATTTCAATTGAGTTTACCGTTTTCGAGATATTTACAAAAAATATAAATTTTTATGACGTCACAAACCTCGCCATGTGACCAACATTCTAAGATTTCTATTGGTTGAAAATTACCCTGTTGTCAAGTTGTCTTGTTAATGATTTCATTCGGTTATGTCAGAAAATACCCGAAGAGGTTATGTACAAATACTGTCACTGTAAGTTGAGTGAAAGATGGTCACCAAATTCATTAAGGCCGTTCCTGGATTTTTGCAGTCCCCTCTTCTCTCGAGTACCCAAGACCCACATTTTAAAACTATCAAAAATCCAACACCAAGCATTAAGAATTATAGGATACATGGAAACTACCCCAGTTAACGTATTACTAGCGGAAATCGGGGAACAACCACTCCACCTAAGAAGGGAATGGCTGGCTTCCAAGTATGTAGGCAGACTGTTCTCCTTGGAAAACCACCCAGTCAAAGGAAAATTTATAGGCGTCTACTCGGACTTCTATGACGACGGAATATACTGGGCAAACAAATCTCCTCCCCCTATAATCTACGCATTGGACTTTTTTCTCAACAAAACCGCCTCGATAAAAACTTCCCCCCTCCTTCCCTGCTTCAATACAAACTTCGACTCCCTCACCGTTACAAGAAAGATCCACGTTCCCGCTCTCCAAAAACAAACTGACAATAAACAGGCTTTTTTGCACTACTTTAAAAACAAATGGAAAGGCTGGGAAGCCTACTACACGACGGCTCAGTCAGCCAAGTCGGAGTTGGGTCAGGAGTTTATAGCCCTTCCAATCAACTAAAATACTCCGCCAGACTCCCAAACCATGCCTCCATAGCGACAGCAGAATGCTTCGCAATTGCTCAAGCTCTGTTACACGCTACAAACAGCCATATTCAATCCGGAAGAAGACACTTCATTATCCTCTCAGACTCCCAGGCAGCACTTCAAAAAATATGTAACACCAACAACACCGCAAAAAAAAGACTCTCTCACATTTGAAGCTAAGACCACCTTACACAATCTAGAAGTACGGGGAGCCAAAGTAGAATTCTGCTGGGTCCCCAGCCACACGAACATCCCCGGCAACGAAATAGCGGACAACCTAGCCAGCAAAGGATTCAAGTTGGAAGACCTATCACCCTATGAAGATCTCATAAAACTTATAAAACACGACATACACAAGAGATGGAAAAACACATTTAAGGAAAACCTAACGCAATCAGGCAGATTCTACTCCACACATACACCAGAACTTCAAAAGCCTTGGATCTCAATCAACTCTCTTGATAGAAGACACATCACTACCTTCCTGAGACTAAGAAGTGGTCACTGTCTCACAAAATCCCATCTGCATAGAATTTGCTTAGAAACCAGCCCTTCGTGTGACTGCGGAGCCACCGAACAAGACCTCCACCACATATTTCTAGAATGTACAACACAGACAGACCACATCAACAACCAAGAAGAAGAAGAAATTCATTAAGTACCTATCTTCCTTATTACGAGGTATCATATTACTGTTTGATATTTTAGAGTCCAAGATATATCTAAAAGAATATAAAGAACTAGGCATTATACTAATGAAATGCATTTACGACAAAATATGATTATAATTATAGGTACTTACTATATTTGTTTAAAAGCTCCAATGTTCAATGTAACCAACCATTCCACAAGATTCCTCTGCTTTGGAGTCCGTTATTAATAAATCACTTATCTAATATCAATTACAAATAACATAACAATAACATTGATTTTAAATTTTAAAAAAACATAACCCGAAAAAAAGAAACGTCAAAAAATCAATTCTTCTTCTTCTTCTCAACTAAAATTATAGATCAAGTGGTTATAAAACTAAAATATTATAACGTGGCGCCATCTTTCGTAAGAATCTTAAACTAAACACACTGGCAACCATGGAAAAAGCTGGCAACGTTGTCAATAGCCTAGTGACGTAATTAGGAGATTTTTTTTTGTAAATATCTCGAAAACGGTAAACTCAATTGAAATTCCGATTTCGCAGAAATGTTTTAAATTACAAAACGCCTTGAATAAAACCATAAAAAGTATAGGTCAGAAAAAATTTAACTATCCCATTATATTTTCCACTAAGCTAGTTAGTTTTACTCAATGTAACCAATTATAAATTAAAGGACCCTACAATTTTCCAACCGAACCCCCAAACTTTTGACAAATTCCGAATAAAAAAACAAACAGTATATTTACCTTTGAAAACTCGACGTTTTGGGAATTTAATGTTTGATAGTTGGCAACATTGCACAGCAGTAAGTGCATAACAAATATCCTCTTATTGGCCACAATAAGAGGATATTTATTTGATTTGCTGGTATATTTTCGGATTCTAAACTATTTGGAGTGGTGTAACGTACGACTTTCTACAAATTCTGTTATGTTTAATAAAATTGAATCCATTTTTGAAGTTGTAACTTTTGAGAATAAATTGGTAAAATCAGTTGGCAACACTGATATCAATATACTTTGGTATTGGCACATTTTCATTTCAATTTTACCAATGGCGAAGAAAACAGAAAATTCTAAACAAAAAGAAATTTTGAAAACAAAACAGCATTTTAATGAAATAATTAATTTGTGCTGCATAAATATATTTTAAATTGTAAATTTAGGATCCCTAGAACTACGTTTAAAAAACACAAAAATACATAAATTGTGCAGTGCCATTTTCTGCATATTCTGTATAATTTTGGCCTTTTAAATACCATTTACGTACAAAATTAAAATTAAATTATAAATATGTTACCTAAATGTATAGTGGGACAATTAAGCAAAATCGATATCAGCGCATGTGTTGCGCAGCTATTGGGCACCATTTGCTGCGCAAAAAATATATTATTGACCACATCTTCATCCTTAACAAATGTGTCAGTCTGTTCTACAACTTTCCTTCTTGACCGACGTTCCTCAACCCATTTAAACAAAAATATAAAACCGTACACAGGCGAGTCCAAGGGTTTATTAAGATCGTAAATTTCCTCCACTTGCACACCTTTTACACCGAAATCTTCCAATAATAGAGTAAACAGGCCTGGGTCACTTTCAAGCTCCAACCAGCCTAAAAATTAATTTTTTTATAAATAAAATTAATGTAAATTAAGCGTATTTACCTTCAGTTAATTCCTTAATATCCACCGGCATTTTAATTTGCTACATTTAACCGATAAAATCGATAAAAAACGCTTTGTTTATATAGGTTAGGTTAACTGACAAAAGTGACAATTGACTGACGTATGAATAAGACATTTGAACTAATTATTTAAAACTTAATAAAACCGCATTATCTCCGTGATGATTGCATTAAAATTCGTTAATTTTTAGAATTTTAAATGTATCATTCAACTAATTAATTCATGTATTATCGATTTTTCCTTCCACAAGAATTCTTTTGTGACGTCAGTAACGAACATAACCTAACACCTGTCAGTTCGTGTAAAACCATCATAACAATCAATTGTGGTGTTTACAATGGAAAAAAGCGATTTAAATAAGAGAACCAGCTATAGGGCGATGAAATTGGAGCACGATCTGCAAAATTTAACGATTTCCAGCGATAACAACACGCCTAGAAACATTTTAGAGATGAATAACGAAAACCTGGTTTTTCAACAGAACGATCTGTTTTTTTACGCTTTTCCTTGTATGGAAGAGATAAGGAGACAAGGGAAATTGTGCGATGTGGTTTTAAAGGTAATAGGTAATACATTTTAGATGGGAATTTAATGTGGTTTCATTGTAGGTTGATGGTCAACACTTTTCAGCCCACAAAATAGTTTTAGCTTCGACTATTCCGTATTTTTTCGCCATGTTTACGAACGATATGATAGAATCGCGTAATAAAGAGATAGAGTTGAGCTGTATAGATGCTACGTAAGTTTTTGGAAGACTTTTTACACTCGGACGTTATAAATTTTAATTTCAGTGCTTTGGAAGCTTTAATTAATTTTGCATACTCAGGAAGGGTTATTTTGGATAAAAATAACGTACAAAGCATTATGATAGGTGCTTCTTATTTGCAGTTAAACAAGGTTAGAGATGCTTGTGCAAACTACTTATTACAAAGGTAAGAAATTATGTTTGTTTTTTTTTAAGAATTTGTATGCTTTTTAAAATATATTTTAAAACCATACTTAAGGTATTAATGCACACTTAGGTAAATGTCAAAAAGTACTAGTAAAACATTTTAGATCAATAACACAATAATGACCAAAATACCAAATATCAAACATTTTATATTTATAAAACAAATTTAAAAATGCCAAAACCATATTTTAGAGTATCAATCCAAAAACACAATTTAGAGTGTCAAAACAAAATTAATATTGTCAAAATCATATTAAAAATGTCAAAATGTATAGAATGACAAAAATGTCAAACAAATTATGAAATGTTAAAAACAAATCTAAAATTGTACCCCGTTATGCAACAAAGAACCAAACAACATATTTGCAGTTACGAGAAAATAGGGAAAAACGTTTCAGACTTTTGATTAAAAAATTTATTTATAAAAACACTTTTAAACTGAACAAAAGCTATCATATTTTACTATATGTATATGAACAGAACAATAATTTTAATGAACAAAAACACTTAAAAAGTTATTCCAAGTATGGAAAAAATACCTGGTTCCCTATTGCTTAATTGAAAATTCAACAAACATCACTTGGATCCGCAACCAAGTTACAATAAAAATAAAAAAACTTACGTAATACGTAATACGTAAGTTTTTTTATTTTTATTGTAACTTGGTTGCGGATCCAAGTGATGTTTGTTGAATTTTCAATTAAGCAATAGGGAACCAGGTATTTTTTCCATACTTGGAATAACTTTTTAAGTGTTCATTAAAATTATTGTCAAAAAATAAAAGTTTTACTCTAAGAAAAACACTTGGTTCTATATTGCGGAACAGGAAAAAATATATTATTGGTCAAAGTCTAACTCGCCATTATAACCGTCTATGTCTTCCTTTATTGAAGGGTCTCCTATTAGACTAGTATAAAAATTATGATCAGCCTCAGAAATAACTGCGTATGTCATCTAGTTTTGGCTTAGCCACTGGTTTCCCATTTGGCCATAGCGATTCCAGTAACTGAGAAAACTGTACGTCTGAATCCTTTGATTTTTTTCTCTTCCTTATATTTATTTCTTTATATTCAGTCTCATCAACATAGTCCGTAATTATAAAGATACTAATTTTTTTTTCTCTAATAAGTTTTATTCCTTTTATATGGAGCCAATTAACTTTTTCACATTTACAACTTTTCTTTCTGTTAACAATTACTTTTTCTAATGCCCTAGTGCTAACGAAATCATCTTTTTTTATTTCATGTACGTCAATGGGTCGCTTCTTTTTACATGTTTTCATGATGTTTATGTAATCTTGAGGGCAAAATACTTTATTTTGTCTCTTAATCGCGCATTCTACGTCACCGAAGTCGCTATAGTTCGGTACGAAACTATGACCAGACACCAGAAACCTTAATCTAATACTTTTTAAATGTACCGAATCCTTAAGAATACTTTTTAGCAAGAGAACCATTTTTATATTGCGATTCTGGCTACCGCAGGAATCGCTCCAGAGGATGATGGTTTCCACAGATTCGGATACAGCACTAGATAAAATATATTTCTTTAAACAGGAACCCACTTCTTGAGCTCCACGGCCCGCTTCCGGGAAGCGGAAGGGGAAGCGGCTTCCCCTTCGATCCAAACATTAAAAGTGGATTTTTTTGCTTTCCTGCATAAATCCCGCAATTATAGTAGTTAGCCGAGGAAGAGGTAGCGTCTTCTCCATGTCGAAAGTTAGCGTTTCCGTTTTATCGTCTGCTTTAGAAAGATCTAAATTAATTTTTTTTCTGGCTGTCTCTGCTTCTTCCAAGTGTAAATTCTTTTCATTTTCGATTCTAACTTTTTCATCTCCTTCAGGTAAACTTTCAATTTTTGTGCTAAACTCATCACATTTATTGCAAGTATCTTTTTTTGTTTTTTTCTGTCTTAAATTAAATTCCGTTAAAAATTTTGCTTACTGAAATATTTAAATTTTCAATCTTGTAAAGGTTGTACATGACTGGCAATGTTGTTCCTTCTTTCAAAAACTCTTGGTCTAGTCTTTTGACCCTACAATAATGCGATTTGTATCGGGGGAATTTGTTTATGTGGGAGACAACGGAAGCTTTTTGTTCATTTGACATTTTATTGTTTCCTCCGCTAATACCACGCCTATCTAATACTGTCAACAATAAACAGAGAACGCCGTGAAACACGTGGGAAATTCGCAAAAGGGAACCAACAAATCTCAGAATTAGCAAAAGGGAACCAAGTAACTTTGGATCTTTATAGTAAATTACAATCGAAATAGTTTTGGTTATGCAAGTAAGTTCTATCGTCTGCCAAATGGCGCTAGAGCGCCAGATCTTTGGATCGCTATTGCAAATCGGGGGAAGACAATATTTGACTGTATAATGCAATTAACTCGTTTTTTCGTAAATTGTCGGTTGGTTCCTTATTGCATAACGGGGTCCAATTGTTAAAATCGCATCTTAGAATCTCAAGAGATTTAGGTATTTTAGACACATTTTAGAAAGACAAAATAAATTTGTCAAAATTATAATTTAGAATATATTTTTAAAGAATGATAGAACCACGTCAAAACCTTATTTAAGGTATTAATGCTAAAACGTCAAAAAGTACCTACTAGATTAGAAACATTTTAGATCAATAACACAATAATGACTAAAGTATCAAATATCCAACATATTTTATAGTTATTTATAAAACCAAATTTAAAAATGTCAAAACCATATTTTAGAGTATCAATCTAAAACACAATTTAGGGTGTCATAAACAAATTAATATTGTCAAAATCATATTAAAAAATGTCAAAATATATTGAATGACAAAAATGTCAAACAAATTATGAAATGTTAAACACATATCTTAAATTGTTAAAACCGCATTTTAAAATCTCAAAACAATTAAGAATTTTAGACACATTTTAAAATGCCAAAATAAATTTGTCAAAATCACATTTAAGTATCTTAATGCATACTATAATGTCAAAACCCTATTTTACAGTCTTTATCCAGAAACGCAATTTTAGTGTCAAAACAAACACATTTATGAAATTATATTTTGAGTGTAGTTTTTATTAATTATTTCAAGGATTCACCCGCAAAACGCGTTGGGTTTCAAACACTTCGCCGAATCTCTGGGCTGCCCAACTCTGGCAGACTCGGCGGAAAAATACATCGAATCGTATTTCCACGAAGTTTCCCAACACGAAGAGTACCTCAACTTAACCATAGCCGAAATCAAAGATTTGCTGAACAAAAACAACCTCAGAGTGGACAGCGAAGAGCATATTTTTGAGGCTTGCATGCGGTGGGTGAAGCACCAGGAAAATCGCAAGGAGTATTTGCCGCAGCTGCTATCGTTGGTGCGGCTGCCTCTGTTAAGTCCCGTTTTCATCACCGACCGAGTCGGGACCGAGGATTTAATAAGGTACTCCTTGCAATGCAGGGACCTGGTGGACGAGGCTCTGACCTTTCATTTGATTCCCGAGAGGCGGAGCTTGATGCAGAGCTTCAGGACCGAGCACAGAGTTTGTGATGTCAAAGGTTAGCTATTTATCAAGTTGATTAGGATTTTTTCAATAATTATCGTTTGCCTAGGATACATCTTTGTGGTGGGCGGTCTAAACAAACACGGCGACTCTCTGTCGACCGTGGAGTACTACGATCCGAAGACGAACCAGTGGAACATGGCGCCCCCTATGTCGATGATGCGCAGTAGGTTGGGCGTGGCCGTTTTGGAGAGCAAGTTGTACGCGTTCGGGGGCTACAACGGCAAAGATCGGTTGGCTAGCGTGGAGGTGTACGACGCGATCAAAAAGGAATGGGCGATGGTGTCCCCAATGCAATGCAAAAGAAGGTAAGAGGCATGTTTTGTGTGTTCCTGGCGTAAAGAATGTGTGGCTTTGTATAAGTAGAGATAGAAATAAATTAATCCAATCTTAAAATGTTAAACCTTCAAAATTTTAAAATTCTCAAAAATTATTAAAAAAATCTTTAAATTTCTTCTAAAAAATTACAAAATTGACAAATATTTACAAAATTCTCAAAATTGACAACATATTTGAAACTTAAAAATTTCCAAAATCTTTAAAATTTCAAAACAGTCAAAATGTTTAAAATAAGTTATCAAAAAATTATAAAAATTTACAAAATCTTAAAATTCTGAAAATTAGAGAAATTTTAGGATATTTTCAAATTTTTAATCCTTTAAAATTGTCAAAATTAAAAACATTTTACAATTTCTAAAAATTATTTTGTATTCTTCAAAATTAACAAAGTTCTTAAAATTTACTTTTAAAATTTTGAATTTTTTTATATATTTTCAAGATTCTTAAATATTTCGACTGGCAAAATGTTTAAAATATTTAAAAATTATAAAAATATCCAAAATGGTCTAAAATTTACAAAACTAGCAAAATTTTTAAAATTACAAAAAACTACAAAATTAACAAATATTTTCAAAATTCTCAAAATTGACAAACAAATTTAAAAAATTCACAATTTTTTTTAAAATTTCAAAACCGTTAAAATGTTTAAAATATTCAAAATTTTCAAATTCTTAAAATTAAATTTCTCAATATTTAAAACATTTTGAAATATCTATTCAAAAATTATAAAAATTTCAAAACAGTCAACATGTTTAAAATAAGTTATCAAAAATTATAAAAATTTACAAAATCTTAAAATTCTGAAAATTAGAGAAATTTTAGGAAATTTTTAAATTTTTAATCCTTTAAAATTGTCAAAATTAAAAACATTTTACAATTTCTAAAAATTATTTTGTATTCTTCAAAATTAACAAAGTTCTTAAAATTTACATTTAAAATTTACATTTAAAATTTTGATTTTTTTTATATATTTGCAAGATTCTTAAATATTTCAAAACTGGCAAAATGTTTAAAATATTCAAAAATTATAAAAATATCCAAAATGCTATAAAATTTACAAAACTGGCAAAATTTTTAAAATTACAAAAAACTACTTAACAAATATTTTCAAAATTCTCAAAATTGACAACATATAAATTTAAAAAATTCACAATTTTTTTTTAAGTTTCAAAACCGTTAAAATGTTTAAAATATTCAAAATTTTCAAATTTTCAAAATTTAAAACATTTTTGAAATACCTAGGTATTCAGAAATTATAAAAAATTTCAAAATTCTCAAAATCTTTAGAATCTACAAAATTTTCATTCTTAAATACTTAAATTGTCAAAATTAACTATTGTGAATTTATTCAAAATTATTTCGAATTCTTAAAAATTTACAAAATTCTCAAATTGCCAATTGAAATTTTTAAGATTTTTAAAATCTTTAAAACTGACAAAAATTATGAAATAATTATAAAAATTTACATAATTTTCTAAAATCTGCAAAAATTATAAAAATTTTCAAAATTCTCAATATCTTTAAAATCTACAAAATTTTGGAAAATTTTTAAAAATTATTTTGAATTCTTAAAAATTAACAAAATTCTTAAAATTGTTGATTGAAATTTTTAAGATTCTTAAAATCTTCAAAAAAATGAAATATTTAATAGTTAAAAAAAAATCCTTATAACTGAGTTTGAAATATTCAAAAATTATAAAATTTCCAAAATCTTTAAAATTCTTTGTTTTAAAATCTCAAAATATAATATTTCTTAAAATTTTGAAATTTACAATATGTTTGAAATATATAAAAATTTACAAAATTTTTGTAATTCTCAAAAATTATAAAAAATTTCAAAATCTTTAAAGAAATTTTAGAAAACATCAAAATTCTTGGTTATAAAAGAGTCAAAATGTTTAAATTCTTAATATTGAAAACATTTTTGTAGTTTTAAAAAATTTTAAATTTCCAAAATCTTCAAATTTTCAAAACTGACAAAATGTTTGAAATATTCAAAAATTATAAAAATTTACAAAATTCTCAAAATTTTTAAAATTGACAAAATTTTAAAATTCGTAAAATTGAAAACATTTGAAATTTTTATAAATTTCCAAAATTAAAATTTTTAAAACTGCCAAATGACATATTCAAGAATTACAAAATTTTCCAAAATTCAAAGTTTAAAAAATTTTTAATTTTAAAATGTACAAATTGTTTTAAGTTTTCAACATTTTTCTAAATTTCTGAAATGTATGCATTTTTAGCGCTTTGGGTGCGACTGCGCACGGCGACATGATTTACGTTTGCGGGGGCTATGACGGGGTCACATCTTTAAAGTCCGTGGAAAGATATCACCCCAGCACGAACTCTTGGAGTTCGCTGGCGCCAATGAATAAATCTAGGAGCGCCGGAGCTGTCATAGCTTGTCTAGGTAATTTGATCCCTATCGAAGTAGGAAACCTCGTCTGACGTCAACATTAATTATTACAGGTTACATTTACGCTTTGGGGGGCCACGACGGATTGTCCATATTCGATTCAGTCGAACGATACGATCCGAACACGAATTCGTGGTCGGAAGCGCCACCTATGCTGACTAAGAGGTACTAAAATGATCAATTAACGTAACCTCAATTTTTACGTTTGTTTTTTTTTACCCTAACAGATGCCGTCTAGGTGTGGCCATGTTGGGTGGCAAACTGTATGCCTGTGGGGGTTACGATGGCAGTACTTTTTTGCAAACAGTCGAGGTTTATAATCCGCAAACCAATAAGTGAGTAGTTTTTTATTTTACAAGTTTTTTATTTTACAAGTTTTATTAAAAGTCAATTTGTTGAACGAATGTCAAAATTACGTTCAAAAATTGACTACTGTCATACAATGCCACCTGTCTCCCAAAATCCAAAACACTCATCCCACTCACGATACACAAAAACCGGTATGCTGTTCAATAAATGCAGTAAAAACTTGCAAAACAATCGTGCGTGGCTTATATTTAAAGAAAAACAGAATAATTTTGGAAAAAACTCAAAAGAAATCATAGTAAAACACCCGTGCATAGCGTAGGTGAGTTCGGGATGGCGGTTTGGTGTAAGTGCAATGCGGTGTAGTGTTGGGGTAGTGCGTTAAAAGTGTATACCGCAACTCAAACGCTTTGGTGTTTCTAATGGAAACTTTCTATGACATTTGACTTATTCGTAACCTTAAAAGATTGCAATGGATTTCCATCTACATCGATTACCTGGTTTGTTGCTACCGATTATTAATATGGCTCGGGAATTATACTTTGAGGACGATGCCGAAGAAGACTTTGAAAATGTTGTTGAAAAAATTGTATTTTCATTTATAACAATATTTCCCTGTGAATCTTGAACAGTACAATGTGTTTTATTTGATATTTCTTCCATTATATCCGTCACTGATATTAAAATGACAGCTAATTATAACAGGATTTAAAGGTTAAAACTTTTAAAACATTAATAAAGCGCATGCACGCACTAAAACCCTTGCTCAAAAGTCGGGGCGTTTGGTGCAAACACCGTTAACACTGCACTAAAATACCCGAACCCAACCACAATAACACTTTTTACACTTATTGCATACCCGAACTGTTAAGGGCGCACGGTGTGAACGGTGTAGCAATCCCGAACTCAGCACGTATGCCTATGCAAAACTTTTTGTAACATTTAAATCTGATTCGCACGTGAGCGGAGTCAACGAGTTTTCGTTTCATATACACAGGGCTCCCACACCTCCTGAAACTAAAATTAGGTTAAATCTTAAAAACCCCTAAAATTATCCTAAAATTGCCATCAATCTCCTAAAAATTAAATATAATTAGGCCAACTTGACTTAATTAAGGTAGTTGTGCTAAAAAATTTCTTTTTTAAAAAGTAATTTAAAAAGTATATATTTTTAGGTTCTAGTTTATTAAATTCTTTTTAAAATGATATATCCCAACCTAAATTTTTCTTAAAAAACAACAAAATATACCTAAAAACAAAATCCATGTAATAGCTTCTAGAATTCTAAAAAAATTACATTTTTAGCCATATTTCGTTTGTTTTCGACAAAAATATACCTTGTTATACAGGGTGAGTTTTAAGTTGACGCGTTCCTTTTAACAGCGTGTAGAAATCATATAGACAAATAAATATTTTAAGTAACTTTTTTATTAAAACTCAAAAATAAGATTATAGCCCTTCAAAATTTAATTAAATTTTGAGCCGGTCCTGGCTATTGTTAACAAAAAACATAACCATAAAAATAAAAATTACAAAGTAAACAATGCAAAATGTCATCTATGACAACAAACATAACCATTTAAACCAAAATGACACATTTTTAACAATAATTGAGGCACAAAAAAAACTTAAGTAAATAATGACATTTTTCTTTGCTAATAGTAGATTATGTTATAAGGAGTAGAAGTGACTCTTTTTGTGGTGAGTACATAGATTGACGGCCGAAGCGTAGCTGAGGCAGGCAACTGTACGAAGCACAAAAAGAGCTTCTACTCCAAATAACATATACAATTTTTTTTTCAAGGGCATAATATAAATAGGATAAGCAATAGAATTATTTTTTTACTCATAACTCGTGTGGGATAAAATTTTGGCTAAAAGCATTAGAAATTATTGATAAAAACTAAAAAAACTAATAAACCTTACTTACAATGCCGATAAATATCCGAAATTAAAACTAAACACTGCTCTGTCAAAATGCTGCGCTTGAATTAATTTTGACGTACTGACATTTGTTTGAAGTTTCGACATTGGCGACTCGTCTATCATCATAATATTATACTAATAAACTAGTTTTTCTTTATTTCGTTCAATTAAAATTTAATAAATAATCACTAAATATTCCGTGCGATTATAATTAATATAATTAATACATCGTGATTGCTTTGTATGAAATGCTAAATTAATTTTATTATTTGACGTTTATTGAGTCACCTATGGATTTACTTCTATCCCTAGGCTTTTTTGAGTTTTTTGTCTGCCGCTAATGAAAAAGACGCACTTCAACTATCTCTATACATGCATATAAGGTTGTATATCATGGCCGCTTGAAAAAAAATGTCATTTTGATTTAAATGGGTATGTTTGTTGTCATAGATGACATTTTGCATTGTTTATTTTGTTATTTTTATTTTTATGGTTGTTTTTTTGTTAACAATAGCCAGGACCGGCTCAAAATTTAATTAAACTTTGAAGGGCTATAACTCGCTTATTTTTGAGTTTTGATAAAAAAGTTAATTAAAATATTTATTTGTCTATCTGATTTGTACACGCTGTTAAAAGGAACGCGTCAACTTAAAACTCACCCTGTATATCAAACAAAAGGATTTTTAATTTTCTTTTAAATAATAGCTAAAATAGTAAACAATGTAAAGAATGTTTTGCTGTATTTTGTAAACTATATATTTTTTCTATTATGAGATTTTTGAGTAACAAGATCCAGATAACAATTATTGTTAATTACGAGGTTAATTATTAACTAAATGGTTAACATTTTTTTTATCAAAATATAAATATAACATAATTTGACTTTGGCCTAGTTTTTTAGCCATATCTAACGACGCGATTTTTTTAAATAAAATTAAAAGTGTGGTGAAATTTCTACTTGTGTATATACCTACGTCAGATATATACAAAAGTAGTAATTTTACCTCACTTTTAATTTTATTAACACGTTCACTGCCGACGTAATAGTTCGCCCATATTGCAGTGCCGATAGATTTTTTTAGAAATTTTAGATACAAATGGAATAAAGTTGTTTCTTTCGTTTCTTATTGAAAGGTTCTATTTGAAAAAATACTAAAACAAAAAACAAATAAACAAACGCGGTAGACGCGTTGGCTTCACCCAGCGACAAAAACCATGCTATATGCCATCGTACAGAACGCGGGTCCCGCGTGCTCGGCATATTGTAAAATACACAAGAACGCGGTAGCCGCGTTGCCGGCAGTTAAAGTGTTAAAAAAAACTCGTCGAGCAATTTGGCTAAAGAGCTAGTCAATACCTATTTATACAGAATAAGTTATATTTATTTATATTTTTGTTAAAAAGAATTATTTATTTTTTTCTTATTATTTAAGTACAGCGTAGAGTTGTTTTTATTTAATTACATAAATTCATTTGCATACTTTATTTCTCCTAAAATTCTCCAAAAAACCTTCCAAATTCCTTAATAAAATTCGTAATTTAGCCGTGGGCGTTTAAACATTGTCTAGTAGACATGTCTACTGTCCTACAACGCCACCTGTCTCCCAAAATCTAAAACACGCTCATCCCACCGACATCCAAAACTGCACAACCACCATAGACCTAAAACTTGCACATTTTAACTTTTCAGGTGGAGCTACGTGGCTTCGATGAACGCTAACCGTAGCCGCGTAGCCTTGACGGCCAACATGGGTAAGTTGTGGGCCGTAGGCGGTTACGACGGCATCTCGAACCTCGTGACCGTCGAAGTCTACGACCCCAAAGCCGATAAGTGGACTTACGTGGCGGATATGATCGCGCACGAGGGCGGGGTCGGTTTGGGGGTCATTTCGCATATCCCCTAAACGGCCGAAAGTGTCGCCAACTTAAAAAAAAATTGGCAAAAAATACTAATTTACTTCTAGAGATAAATTTGATTTTTACTTTACCGTTGAATGCAAACGGTCAAAGTCCAGATTAAATTAAATTAAAAATATATTACAGGGTGTTATACTTTCAGAATATTTTTTTTTTATTTTACTAATCAGCCATTCCACGCTACTCGGGAATTTTTGTAGCGTCCGTTACAATCAAAAATTGTGAGTAAAAGCTACCGTAATTAAATTAAATACTGTTACAATAGTTAATATTGCACACATGTTTATTATGCTTGTAATAATTGGGCTTAAACTTATAAGCATAATAATTGCGGTAGTTTTACATACAATTTTTGATTGTAACGGACGCTACAAAAATTCCCGAGTAGCATGGAATGGCTGTAATATTGATAGTTTTATATGCATAACAAATTTTTAATTGAATAAGTGGTTTACCTTTGTTTTTATTTTTAAGTATTTAATTTTGGACATTTAAACATTCACTTGCCATACTACCTACTCTAGTTTAATATACAGGGTATCCCAAAAATAACTTTTAAATTTCAAGATTCTTTACTTGTCAGAATATTTTTTTATACCTGTGTATTAAATCTTCTGAGATTCAAACTATTCTAGCTCAGTATTTATACTTGCGTATTTTAATTTTAAAAAGCTAACCCCCAAATTTATTAATAAGATAGTTATTTAAATTTGGTGTCGTTTATTAAATATTGCATATTTTTACATTAGCACTATTTTAACATTTTAATTTAAGTTAAGTTATTATTTATACAACTCGATTTTATTGATTGATTTTATTTACTAGGTTTGTTCCCAAAGTTTGGGAACAAACCTACTAAAAATTGCTTTCTTACAACATTCTTTTTATTTCTTGAATATTTCCACTAAAAGACTGCGGATTTTTTCGAATTATCCTATTAATTAAGATTTTTTTACATTGTTTACATTGTGTTATAACATATATGTCCCTCATAAAACTAGTCAAAATTTCAGATATTCTCTCAAAACTGTAATTGTATATAAATTTGTGATATGTGATAGGGTATATTATTATTAATTTGTATGGTAAATTGATATTTAATAAATTTTATTCAACTAAATTAAACATGTTTTATTTAAAAATCGTAAAAATTATGCCTCTCAGTTTACATGTAAAAGCAAGTTTTATGTTGATCAGTGTAGTGGTAGTTCATATGTACCGTTTTTAACCTACATTTATTTCGCATTTAAAACACATTTTACAAGTGAAATGAACAGATTTAATGATAAAATCATATACCGCAGTACATTTGACCACAAAATAGTGACAATAAACGTAAAATTACCGAAAATCAACCAATATAGGACCACTTAACATATCAAACATATTCTGTTATACTAAAGGTTTATAAGGTAATAACAACTTAAATTTATACACTAAAGTTTTATTATTATCATTATTCTTTCAGTAAACGAAAGTATTTACACAAACTGCAACATTTCGAAACACATAACCTCACTTAATCGCGTGTCAATAAAATCACTAAAATGGAATCTATTAAGCCGACAAGCGAGGAATTGCAACACTACATGAAACACCCTAAATACATACGTAATGTGTGCATATTGGCGCATGTAGACCACGGTAAAACGACTTTATGCGATGCTTTATTGTCTACAAATCGCTTGATAAGTAAACGACTGGCTGGGACTGTACGTTACTTAGACGACAGGCAGGATGAGCAGGAAAGGGGGATAACAATGAAAAGTAGCGCTGTATCACTGTTAAACGTTATTAAAGACGACGATATGAAGGATATACCCATTCTTTTGAACTTGATTGACACGCCAGGTCATATCGACTTTAGCAGTGAAGTTGGGGCTGCGTTGAGGGTTATAGATGGCGCTGTTGTTCTGGTAGACTTGGCTGAGGGTGTTTGCGTGCAGACTAGGGAATGTATTAAGAAAGCGATGCAGGAAAAAGCGCAGATGATTCTTGTTCTGAATAAGTTTGATAGATTGATTGTGGAGATGAAGTTGGACACAGAGGAGATTTTCAATTACATTTTGAGAGCTATAGAGAGTTGTAATGTCGTCGTTGCCGAGATGTACCAAATTGAATACCCGGATGTAAACGTTGATGTGGAGGATAGCGGTTTTTTGTTCAGCCCTGATGCAGGGAATGTTATTTTCGCGTCTGCCATACACGGGTGGGGTTTCACCTTACAACATTTAGCGAAATTGTTTTTACCACTAATTAACGACGAAACAGTGGAAAGTTTGAACTCCAAGCTGTGGAACTTTGATTGCTATGTTGACAACAAAAAACAAGTCAAACTTGGCGCCATTTCCAAAGGAAAAGACAACTTATTCAAGCAGTTCTGCATCAAAACGATAATGACTATATACGAAATTATCGTGGTGAGAATGGACAAAACAAAAGTTAGTAACATACTGCAAAAGTTAGGTATCACAACAACAACTAAAGATATGTTACATACAGACCCAAAAATCCAGATTAAAGCTATAATGCAGACCTGGAAACCCATCGCGGAAACAATACTTTTGCAGTGCTTCAACATCTTTAAAAATCCCAGTGTTATGTTGGAAAATAAGGCGAACTACCTTCTAAACATCACCAGACATTCCGGCGACCCAAACGCTTTAAAATGCATTGAAAATATTAAACCGCATCTCTTACAATCGTCAAGTTCATCTGAAACCGTCGCCTACGTTTCAAAGATGTATTGTATCGATAAAAAGAACTTAGGTGGGTCCAAAATTGTAATGCCGTCGTCCAGAAAAGATGCTTTGGAGAAACAACTACACAAAATGAACATAAACGACGAGGCAACCCCTGAAGTACCCATAATTAAGGAGAGTAATATTCAGGTTATAGCGCTTGCAAGGGTCTTTACGGGTACTCTAAAAATCGGGCAAGAAATATACGTATTGCCGCCAAATTACAAACCCGGCGATAAAAACACCGAGAAAGTGGTCATAAACGATTTGTACATGTTGTTCGGCAAAGATTTAATGTCGGTAAGGGAAGTTCCGCCCGGGAACTTCTGCGGTGTGTCAGGTTTAGAAAACACAGTCTTAAGAACAGCCACGTTATCCAGTACTTTAAATATGGTTCCGTTCTTCGAAAGCCCGGCTATGGAACCCGTAATAAGAAACTCCATAGAACCAGTCAACACAAAAGATCTGCCTGTACTGAGGGAAGGTTTGAAGTTATTGATGCAGAGCGATTCCTGCGTGCAAATATTGATACAAGAGAACGGAGAAATGGTTCTATTGACTGCTGGTGATGTGCACTTGGCTAAATGTATAGAAGATTTAACGAAGAAATTCGCTAAAATAGAAGTCAACGTATCGAGTCCTATGGTGGCACTAAGAGAGGCTGTGCTGGGTGGTGATACAGATGATTTTTTGAGCAACATAGACAACTATATTAACGTTAAGAATGAGAATTTTGAGCTTAATTTAATCGCCATTGAAGTTCCACCAAGTATAATGAAGGTTTTGGAGGGTAACTACCACCTACTGAGGGATATAGAAGATAGTAAGAAAAAATCTTTGATCGACATTGTGAATTTGCTTAGCAATGAGGATAAAAGTGCGAAAAATGAAGACACGTACTTTAAACTAATAGAAGCGTCAATAAAACACTTTAAAGAATCACTTTCCAGTGCTTTAGTTGACACCGAAAGTATATGGCGTAAGTTGGATGACAAAATATGGAGTATAGGGCGAAATTCACAATCCATCAACATCCTTGTCAACAACGTATCCGACTTCAAACACAGCATATTCGTAAGCATCGAAAACAACGACAAACGCTTATTTTTCGATCAATGTATAGTGAACGCTTTCGATACTGTGTGTAAAGCGGGTCCCATATGCGATGAGCCGCTGATGAACGTAGCGTTCGTAATAAAAGACTTCAAGTTGTTCGACGATATCAACATAGAAGATATTTCACCGCAATTCACATCGAACATCGAGGGTTTGGTGAGGAGTGCGCTAAGGAAAGCGTTCGATAAAAGAGAGAGGCGTCTGTTGGAACCGATGTTCACAACCGACATCCAAGTGAACACCAACATCCTAGGCAAAGTCTACTCGGTGGTCAGCAAAAGAAACGGAAAGGTTTTAGACGCCGTCGGCATGGACGAAGAGGAAAAAACTTACCTGGTAAAAGCGCAAATCCCGGTCATCGAAAGCATAGGCTTCGCGAACGAAATACGAACGACCACCTCGGGTCAGGCGAACCCGAACTTGAAGTTCAGCCACTACGAGGTTATAGACGGCGATCCGTACTACGAACCTGTCGAAGGTGACGACGACGAAGACGAGGATTTGAATGTGGAGTCGGCCTTGAGAGCGAGCAGGATCAGGAAGGATGTCAGGACTAGAAAGGGGCTGTATGTGGAAGATGAAGTCGTTACGCACGCGGAAAAACAAAGGACTTTAAATAAAAAGAAGTAGGTAAACATAATGTAAATAATAAACCAATCGACGTGACTGTCTTCCATTTATTATCATTTAATTAGAAAGTATTATGAGGGTTTGTTGCTACAAATGTAAATAAAATTAATTAAACCCGTTTTAATTGCGTTTGTGTAACCAAGTTCCTTCGAGTAACAATATGCAATTTTAAATCTTTCAACCTCAAAAAGGATTTCAAACATATTGCCAGTATGATCCCTTTCGTGCACTTTTAACTTATTTGCTTCCGCAAATTTTGAATCAGTGTTGACATTTAAGCATATTTTCCGCGTGTGTTTTGCGTAAATGGTCGTTGAGATATCTGCAGCTGTTAAATATTTTGTGGCAGATTTCGCATGTGAGTGCTTGATGTCGCATCTTCTTGTGGGCGGATAAAGCCCCCGAAGTTTTTCCGGAGTATTCGCAAATTTCGCATTTGTACGGTTTATCGTCGCCGTGACTTTTTAAGTGTACTGCGAGAAGTGCTTGGTTTATAAATGGTTTCGAGCACACTGAACATCTAAAAGAAAACAATATTTAGTTACGTATGACGAGACTAATACTTATTTACCTAGGATGTTCGAAATGGCTTTCTATATGTTTTGCTATAAAAGATTTATCATACATTTTTTCACAAATATCACAAGCGATCCAATGTAGTGATTCATGCTTAACTAAATCTAATCTTGTTGTAAAAACCTTAAAAAAACATAATTACAATGCATCACACTGTATACTACTGCATTTACTTCTAAACAATCCTTTTCTATGCATTTGAAGATATGTTCCTCATCATGTGATTTTTGATGATCCTCAAGAAGTTCTTGATTAATGAACAGTTTTGAGCAAACTGAACATCTAAAATAAAAACAAATTTGGTTGTGTTTTCCAATTTAAATAAGGCATTAGTTCAACTCAAGAAAACATTGTTTATCTGAAATATTACCCTAATATTCAATAGGTTATGGGCTACTTTGATATAGAAGTACAGAAGAATACAGCAAAGAAAAAGTTGCCTTAATTGTTAAAAGTCCAACTACCATAATAACAAAAATATTTGCCTTTGGGTCCGAAAAAACAGACTCTTATTTATCTAACTGCAGTTGTGAGGGAGAACAAGAGACTTCTTGTAAAATGAACCAAGGGCGGGGGGAAGTGGTGCAAATCAAAACGAAACCACTAAACATAGATTTGAATGTTACTATTGTGGAAGGCCACAGAGAAAAACCTATAAAATCTGAAGATACTAATGAGACAAGTGCTAGGAAATGGGAAGAAAGTCGACTGTAAGTTAGAGAATCAAGGAATACAATTAAGATATAATGCTTGATAATAAAAAGAAGCAATCTTTGCTGGAAGAAGAGAAAACCTACCCATACAGCACGTCCAATTTGAATTACGTCTCTACAAGATATACACGTGAGAAACAGATGATGTTAAGGTGGATCTAATTGTTGATCCAGTACTGACGTACACATATGAGATACACCTATGTTTATATTAACAGAATTATGTGATACAATGTTTATTAATTGTATACCGTATGCACTTAAGATTCTAAACATTTTTATATAGCGTAAAAATGGATCATTAGAATTATAAAATTTGACGTCCGTACAAGATGCCTACAAGGTTTAAGTCATATGTATGTGTGATGCTTAATGTAATATTTGTGCTTACTGCATACACTACGAAAAAGTGCTATATATACACATGGTACTAAGAATTACATATACACTATTTAGTTGTGCCTTGTTGTTTCTACATTCGACGATTCGAGCATTTAAAACAGTGCGCGCGCAAAGCGTCAGCGTGAGAATACCGACCATGTGTATCTTATGTGTCAATTTTTATTGAAGTGTGTGTGTTTCAGAGATATATCTTTGGTGTCTGTGCATTTTAAAAAGGATTTTAAGGTAGGAATAGGAATTATTTAATATTTACTTATTATTACTATACACAGAAAAAAAGGAATGGTTAATTTAACTATATCAATTTAGTTGACCCATATTTATTTAAATCAACCGTGGGAAGGTTAATATAAACAAAGATTAGTTTAACGGTACTAAACCAGATAGTCATTTTATTTTTTTAAATTGGTTAAATTAACCCAGAAAACTTTAGTAAAACCAACCCGCTGTATGGTTCAGTTTACTAAATATGTTGTTTGTAAAATAAGAGTTACTTCAACCTTAAGCACTCTGTTAAAATGACTAAAACAACTTGCCGTGCATTCCTGGTTGCATAGTATGTACCGATCGCGGCAAAGGCGGTGTGGATCGCGTGATGTAGAGTATATAAGCTCAGGTAGTCCTTTGCTTTGGTGTGACACTACAAGTTGTTCGATACTAAAGATACATTGAATAGGTGGAAACAGCTGTCAATACTTGAAGTATTTTATTAAGTTTGTGAAACGCACTAAAAACATTATCTCTAGCGAGGTGAAGGTTTAATTATCTGGAATAATACCTCTGGTATTATACTAGTAACTGTTTTTTTAAGAATATAAGAAAAGGCTTAAAAATTTTTTTCTACTCCAAACATTTCAAGATCTTATTTTTATTGTTATGCCCCAAACGATATGGGTAAGTGTACCAAGCCGTTAACCTAGTTAGGGTAACAAATTATATTTAGTCAATTCAACCAAATGTATTTAGTACATTGGACTGGTAGATAAAGGTCACTTTAACTATATAAATGTTTGTTTCAACCAAATATATAGTTGTAAAATATAACCAAATGCGGTTGTTAAAATAACTAAATGTTTGGTTGGCTCTATTGAAACAACATATTTAGTTAAATGAAACAAATAATAGTTGGGCTAACTAAACCTTTTTTTCTGTGTAGGCCCTACAATATAACTTGTTTGGACGTAATAATCCAAATGGACTACATAAAGAAGGTTTCAAACAATTTAAGGAACTCCTTACTGCAACATTTGGTAAGTTATCGATGGCTGACAATGTATTTCTATAATATATAAATTATATATAATTATATATAATATATATTTGCGTTTTTACTGTGTAATGTATATTTCAGTTTTTAATATATTTTAATCTTCTTGTAAAAGTTCTGTCATTTTCCTGTGTTTTTCTACTTCTGTTTTTTGTGGCACCAATTAAAAGCATTCCATAATAGTAAGTATATATTATAAGATATGAAACGAAAAAAATAACAATTTTAAAGCAACTTTAATGAGTACTTCAGGAAAATAAAAGTTTCGCCGTCCGACCTATCATTCTCAAAAAACATAATATTAATGAATTTTAAAAAATACCTGTTTTGAGAACGAAAAGTCAAGCGGCAAAACTTATTTTCCTGAAGTAGCTCATCAAAAGTATTTTTGGACAGGGTGTATACACGGGGCGACAGAGCTACATATACAAAGAATAGTATATTTACGTTCAATTCGAGTGAGACAAATGCCATGTGTAAGCAGAGTTTAAGCACAATACACAGCTACTGTGCATCCGATAACACACCGTGGATCACATACTTTGTGTATATGTTAATGTGGTATTGTGGCTACATTGTGAGGCGGACGTTTAACCATTGTGCATACGTGTGTGTATACCATGTGTAAACGTAGCACGTTTACATCGTAGAATTGTGTAGAATTGTGTAACCTCACTATCGCTCGGGATAATGTAAGAAGTAAGCAAGAGCTCATAGAGATTTTTCATAAAAAATAGATAGCAAACATAAAGAAACACTGTAGAGAACTTGAAAAATCAATGACACAAACAACAAAAACATTAAGGATGAAACGATTTAACAAATCAGTTACAACGACCAAAACCATAAAGAGTATGATATTTTACTAAACAAAAAAAATAATTTTAAAGAGCAATTCGATATAAGATAAGATAAGATGAGTTGTTGGGAAGGGGTAACTTAGGAACAAGATACCAACAATGTTGGTCCAACATGTAGGAACGAATGATGAGAATAAAACCAGGGAAATAACTGAATCAAGAAATGATAACTCTTAAGACATTGCTTGTATTACCCTAACATCCAACATTCTTGATCCTGAGATTGATCATCATCTGATGTCGATTGAATTGCTGCAGCTACAGCCGCAGCTCTTTCGTTGCGCTGACGAATTCTATAATCCCTTGAACGTCGTGCTCCTAAGGCTCTCTTGTGATTTAATCTTTCAATGGACTCAGCGGACAGTCGCACTTTTTTAACGGGCTGTTCGTTAACCAGTGAGGCATTTTTTTGCCTTTTTCGATAGTCTCGCATATACGCGGCAGCGGATATTTTCCTTTTTTTCGCTTCCTCAGAAGTCAGTCTTTGCCTGTATTCTCTTTGGAGCGTCGCGCTGTCTTTTTTTCGTCTTGCAGTCCGCTGTTGTTGAGGATCTTGCTCGGGCGTGAGCGGTGAGTTGCGAGTAATCACGCTTGTCGATGAAGATGATTCTCTATCAGCTTCGTGAGAAATAATTGCCACTTCTAGGGACTGACTTCCCTGAAAAGATTGATAACATTTTACTATTGGATGTAAAATCAAGAGAGATCAAATGAATTATGAACGAAGTATACTTCTTTGATTGAAAGATATTGATTATATTCGCGGCCAAATCTGTATGGGTGCACGTCATCAATACGATGTGATGACGTCAGCATTACCAACTGAATTGTAAAGTTACTGCCGTTAAATTTGCTTTTGAAGGCGTAATATTACGATGTGTTATAAAAAAATATCATTCATTTGCCATTTGTTTACCAAGAACTGTAACAATTTTCCTGTCTTAAAACGCTTTTTTATTTCGAAATTATGAAAATAAAACCATTCACTTAGTATTTTTTGTGTGCGCCCGTTGCTAATAGCTTAAGGCTGGCGCGCACCGTTCAATATTATTGATAGGTCACCGTCAATTTATATATGACGATTTTTTGTTATTTTGACATTTCATCGGTACGCATGATGCGTAACGCATCGTTTGTTGCAGATTATTATAAATAATGTTATACTTTGTGTTTATCATATTCTACCACTGGATTGTGCAAACAATATTATAAGGTTGGCAACGCCAACAGTTATTAGATTGCGAAGACATTGCGCCCTTAACAATAAATTTGGGGAAATAATCAGACTCCAAGTCTGACCTGGTTCGCTCTGACGACAAAGACGACTGGTAATTTAGTATTTTTTTGTAATGTATATAAAAATGTAATAAACTTCGTTTGTTTTCTCTCTAAACACAGCTAAAAAAGCTAAACAGCCCCCACCGCTATAAACAGTCAACAATACACAAGCGTTAGATTGTGCCTGGACACGTATGAATAGATTTTAACACTGACGTCATATGCCGTTGAAGACGTGCACCCATGCAGATTTGATCTCGACTATACAAAGACTTTTATATTAATTTTTTTTTACATAAGGGAAACCTTACCCCACCTTGACAAAAAATCAGATGTGCTATTTAACAAAATAACAACTATATCTGAAGTCAAATAGTTTAATTGCGACGTAATTTATAACCTTAAAATATTAGGAATAAATACGGAAGAGTTTCAATACTCGATAAAATGTTCAAATGTCGCACCCGTTACATTTTGAGAAAATTTTAGAAAATTAAGAATGTTATTTTTGTGCTTTTAAAATGCGTGATTGTTTAAGGTTACTATTCAAAATTTACACAAAAAAATATTACTTTATGCTTTCATCCAAAATTTTACAGTATCAACTTTAGAAGCCAACTTGGTCGCATTTTCTAAGGTTGCGCCAGTTACGATATTCATGACGTTATAAAAGGTTTTCTATACAAGTTTTTATTGACATTTTGTTTGAGTTAAATGCCTATTTTTTATACTATTTTTTTATATTAACCTATCTTGATATATATGAACAAACACTTTATTATCATGAAAAAACGCAGTTTAAGTGGCGCACCCGTTACAATGGAAATACCCAGGGCCTATTTTACCTAAAGGCCCATAAGGCCCGGGCCTTGGGCCCGGAGGAAAACGGGGCCCGTAAAAAGCCCTTGAAAAAAATTATAAACCATTTCAATTTAAATTTAAAATAAAGCCATACCTATTTTTAAAAACTAAATTACCATTGGTTAAGAAAATATGTGATACAAGATGGTCAGCACGAGCTGATGCTATGAAATCTATTGCGCTTGGTTTTAGTAAAATAAAAACAGCGTTAGTAGAGCTAAATGAAGATGCAAACCAAAAAAACTCTACCAGAACAGAAGCTGGAGATTTACTTAACAAAATGAATACATTTGAATTTGCTTTGATGACCTCAATTTGGAAAAGAATCCTAGACAGAATAAACTCCACAAGTAAATCTCTACAAAATAATCAAGCCAATCTAACTGCGACTTGTACACTTTATAGCGGATTGATCGAATTTGTCGAGAGTTTTAGAGAACAGTTTGATAAAATTGAAGAGGAATCCAAAAAAATTCAGCCAAATAATAATGTTTATAAGGATGAAATTTCAAGAGTTCGTAAGAGGAACAAGTTCTTTGATGAAGGCCCTGCACAAGACATTACTTTAAGCGGTGCTGAAAACTTTAAAATAAATAGTTTTTTTCCTATATGTGACAAATTGATTTTTGAATTAAAAATGAGAATTTAAGCGTATGATTGTGTAAATGAAATTTTTGGTGTATTTTTTGTTGAACCCTCAAATTTAATGTAAGTATAAAAAATATAAAAAAATATTACAATATGGATGTGGATGCTACTGAAGATTTAGTGGATGAAATTATACAATTTAAAGCACTTTGTAAATCAAATGATATTTCCTCTAAAGACCCCCAGGAAATGTTAAAATTTTTAATTGATAACAATATTTTGTCAACCTTCTCTAACGTTAAGGTATTGTTCCGTATATATTTAACTATTCCTATTAGTAACGCATCTGGAGAGAGATCATTTTCTACGTTAAAACGGGTAAAAACCTATCTAAGAAACTCATTAAACGAAAAAATGTTTCATCGTTGGCTATTCTAAACGTAGAAAGCGATATTCTAGATAAATTAGAAAAGTTTTCGGAAATGAAAATACGTAAAAAAAAAATTAATTAGTTGTTTATTTTTATTAATTATTATTTATTTTGTTCGCTGTTCCTTAGAAGCTGAGTTTTTTTTAATTTTTTTGTTGTGTTATTAATTTCAGTTAGAAATTTTGTTTAAGTATCGTTTAAATATATTTTTAGTTGTTTGTACCTACTAAATAATTAATAATGTAGGTATGTTTTTTTTTAATAAATATTTATTTATTTTTTTAGATTTATTATTAGGACAATTATCTAATTGATTAATTAAAAATTAAATTTTTTTATCATAAACCTGAAGGTGTCAAAGGTAAGTAGAAACATTCTTATTGAAAAGTTATATAGGGTATTGATATGGGGGGCGAAGTTTTGCATGGACCTTGGGGCCCCACTAAGTCAAAAATAGGCCCTGGAAATACCCATAATTAATTTTCATTGGTACAATTACGTTAAATTGCATCGTAATAAGCGTAATTTGACTTTCAAAATCGATAAATTACAAAATTAATAACTCAAGCGAGAATAATGCGCTCTTTAAAATGGCGTTACTATTTTATAAAATATAATAATTTTAAAAAATTTGTGATTTACGAAATAGACAAATTGGCACCCAACTTTTTCACGACAAAAAAACTCGCATTTTTAAATTAAAATGAACGAATTTTTTTAGCAAAATTTAATATCAAGAAAAATACGATCTTTAAAATGGCGTTCAAAAAATTAAATAATTTTTTCTACTCTCATTATCGTACATGTTTCCATGACACTAAGTGACCTTTTAAATACACATTGACAAGTTGTGGCTTTATGGCGTTTTAGTCACGGGCTGAAGTTAGTTTTAAGTTAGTTGACAGTTGTAAAATGTCATACAATCGTTAAAATAAAGTGCCTTTCTTGTAAAATAATACTAAATGTGAAAATTATTTTATTATCTCAATACAAAAATACAACGCCGTGACTAGAAGTACACCGGGAGTACCGCTATTAAAAGTACATCAGGTTTGTGCGCATGCGTGTTTCCATAACAGCTGATGGTAAAATTTCGGATTTATCAGTTGACATTAAATTGGTACACTAAGGCCCAGTTGTATAACAGTTGGTAAAGAGCTGGTTAACTCTTGATATTAATTATGTAATTATTAAGCTAACTTTCAAGTTGTATAAACATTGATTAAAATTTAATTAAGTGATTGAAATACAATTAACAACAAAATTAATGAAATGTCAGTATGAATTACCCAAACCAACCCAAACTCATCAACCCAACCCAACCGACCCCGCCCCATTGGGCCCCCCGCCCCATTGAGCGCGAAATTGAGCGACCATTTAATATTATACAATTGACAAATATGCTAACTAAGGATTTTTTTCCACCCGGTGTACTTTTAATAGCGGTACTCCCGGTGTACTTCTAGTCACTTTGAAAATACAAAAGTATTAATATTTGAAAAGTTTATATGAACATTGTACTGACCTTTTAATTTCGCCGGTAGTAAACTATAACTTAAATTCGGGCACGGACTCCACTGTAAAGTGCTCATAAAACATTTTCTTTACTTTCACTGTGAAAAACTGTCCATGTTCAAGGAATATGCACAATCCACACAACAAGGTCGGTTTGATCTCCTACTAAAAATACTAAAAATCACTGCAACACGCACATCAACCAATGGCTGCCATTTTTGTTATTTACAATTCTTGTGCTTTGGGTTTGTACAGATTAATAATCGTTTTAAACGCTGTGTTTCTTACAGAGACACTTGCAAGCCTTAAAAGAAACCTCAAAGTGGTAAGAACAATCATTTTAGTCCTCTTTTGAAAAAAATAATCCTTATTCTATCAGGGCTGTCAAATGTCAATTTGAAGGTTAATTTGTGGGTTATAAAATAGCCTTAAATTAACCTTCAAATTGACATTTGACAGCCCTGATAGAATAAGGTTTATTTTTTACAAAAGAGGAGTAAAATGAATGTTCTTACCACTTTGAGGTCTCGTTTAAGGCTTGCAAGTCCCTCTGTAAGAAACACAACGTTTAAAACCATTATTAATCTGTACAAACCCAAAGCACAAGAATTGTAAACAACAAAAATGGCCGCCATTGGATGATGTGCAGTGATTTTTAGTACGAGATCGAACAGACCTTGTTGTGTGGATTGTGGGAATATGTACATTTCGATTTATCCTTTATAATCTGTGTTTATAAAATATAAAAATTTGATATTTGACGGTGACACACAGATTCCCCTATTGTTTCATAGATGGCGCTCTATACAAATATTTGATTTAAGTCATTTTAAGATAATAATAAGTATTTGTCGTAGAAAAAGTATAGTATGCACCTCGTTTATAAACTTTTCTATACACTCATTAATTTAAGCACTCGCTCGCAAGATCGCTCGTGCCTAAATTAAATTCGTGTATAAAATGGCGTTTATCAAACTTGATACATAATATACTATTAAAGGATATTTGGCTTGCAAAATTGACAAATTGGCCCCCAACTTTACAAAATAAAAAATTTAATCTTCAAAATGGCGTTAATAAAATATAATTCACAAAAGATTTGTGATGTATAAAATTCACAAATTGGCGCCCAGCTTAAAAATATAAATAATTCATTACAAACTATATTACTGTATTTACTTCGAAACAATCATTTTGTATACATTTTAAAACAGGCTTTTTCTCATGAGATTTTTGATGGTCAAATAGTTCAGTTAATTCATTGAATTCTTCTGAACATAGCACACAATCGTAAGTATCTTTCTGAAAATAAAAAAAAGGTTATTAGTTCTGTTTTTTCATTTATTATCATATTTATAACAAATATACTCACTGCCTCAATTTTGATAATTTCTTCCTTAACAGCCTTATCAATTTGTATGTATTTGTTGTCTACATTTAGTAAGATACAGGTAGTTCTAAATTCATAGAAATCGTTGATTTTCTCTATGCACTTAACACAAACACCACTGTTCACATCAATCGAATCAGATAACTAAAAATTTTTTAAAAAATGTGAACCAAAAGGAGGTAAAATTGTTTATTTTACTTACATCAATTGTAACACATTCCTTTATTTTCAATAATAAATGTTTATCATTTTTAACATCGATTATTTTGCTGATGTTTTGTAAACATAACCTACAAAATTCCATGTTCAACTGACACTGACAGCCAATGTTGCCAGCCAGAAAACACAAAACAAAAAACCCCTTTGGCCAGTGTTGCCATAATAAAATATCAGTGGATCAAAAAAATGTACAATTCATCTTTTTTTATTTGGACTCTAGTTGTTTTTTCACTAAGTTGGTAGCTTATGCCAGTTTGATTTAGTATTTAAAAAGTATTTTTACCATAAATATGGTACTTCTTCTGAAGACCCTTAATTAACTACACTGTCAAATTGACAGTAATAATATAATAATAATAATAAGTTTATTAGTTCAAAAAATTGTATATATACAATGTAGAACACGTCACAAAAAATACATTAATAACAATTTAGATACCTAAATGCAAGAAACTAAACCAATTACAATCAATATTTATTATTGAAAATTTACTTGTTAATTATTATATGGATTATTTTCAGCTAAGTAGATCAAAATTTTTTGAAATTTAAAAAAATAAGGGGGAAATAAAAAAACAAAAAATAAAAATTATTTGCTGTTATAGGTTCAACCTTTTTGTGAAAAATCTAGTTGTTAATTTTCCTGTCTTTGAAAATAGCATTCATTTGGTTTGAAAAAGATAAACATGCTTATTGCATGCATATTGCAATAATCACGAAAATTTTTCTTCTTTCAATTTGCAAGTTACTGATCATTAATAGTCCTGGACAATATATACATTATAATTATTATTAAGCCACTACAAGTATTAACGTCCAGTACTGGACTCACAGAACATGGACTTTAACAAAATACCCATTCACCATTGGAGTCAAATGATTGGACAACATTCACGTGTGTTCACATAAAATTTTAATTTCTTTTATATAAATTCTTTTCAAAGCGAAAATTGTTATCTGCTAGGAATACCTTGTCTCTACTGGGCCGTAGTTACCTATTTTTAGTCTTTTACCGTTAAGTGAAGACTTTTGAATCAAAGCCTTTAATAATGCATAATGCTGTTTGAATTTAGACGACATATTTGTTTTATGATTTTTACTGAATTGAAATGTTTACAATTTTCACGAAAATCATTATAATTTTAGTATACTAAAATGTGTATTTATTGTATCCAATATATTTACAGGGACTGAATGTAATTTATTTCTTCATTCGGATTTACCATGTTTATTGTGAAACTGGTAAAAACTTAACCCAGGGTTTCCTCGAAAAACAACGGGTTTTTTCTCGATATTTTTTACGTACAAATGATGAATAAAGTGCGAAAAATGAAGACTCGTATTCAAATTAATAGATACGTCCATAAAACACTATAAAGAATCACCCAGCAGAATCAGGAATTCCTTAAGGATATCAGGACTGAAAAGGGGTTGCATGTGGAAATAAATATAAGAAATAATAAACCAATGTTGTGTTTTATATGAATTTATTGATCCCATGTACTCTCTTTGAATGTTTTACCCTTCCTTTTACCCTTTTTCGTTACTGTCTCCCATTTGCTATCATCATGTTCTGTATTGTCTTCAACCTTCTGTCTTTTTTCTGCGATGTCACTTATATTCTCACTCATTTTTCGTCTCTGACCCGTTACAGGTGCAACATTTGTTTTTGATTCCAACATTGCTCTCCTAGCTCTATAAGTCATAATACTGTAAGTATCACTTTGCGATAAAGTGTTAAGAGCTACCCCGGACTGTTCCTTTTTGTTTAGGCTCACGTAAGCGGACGTTTCGTCTATCCAAGATATGTATACGGAACCGAAAGGGCTGAATAGTTCGGTTATGTTGTGGAATTTCCACTCTTTCGGGAAGGTTAAGTGGAAAACGTGGTCTCTCGACGGATTCACTGTAATAAAAAATTGGGAACGTTTTTCGGGTTTTTATTACTATTTATAACCAACTTACAGTCATTCCCCTGTAGATTTATGTACTGATTATCAGCCAGGTTCATTAAAAAGATTCTGTTTATTACTTTGTTCAATAGTCTGTGATCTCCGAATGTTTCTGCGGGAGATTTGTTTTCTAGTTTACCTACAAAGAGTTACTGATGAAATATAAGATACTATTATCAACTAAATATCGCCTAAAACGTGCTATGAAAAAATATGTGACACCACCCTTGTAGAAATTTTTCTCTGAAAAAGTTTTAATAAGTAAATATAAGACTTTTGAAAGTCTTACTTTCTCTTAAAAACTCTGAATAAGACTTATTAAGTCTGAAAAAGTCTTAGTAAGTCAGAATTATAGCAATATTTGGGAGTCTTCTGAAAGAGTTAATAAGACAATAAGACTTTTAGAAGAGAAATGGTAGGTACCTAGGTTTAGCTATAGCAATAAAAATAAATACCCGGAATTAGTCAGAGAGGTTGTATTTGGTTATTGAAAAATAAAACACAAAGAAATGTATTTATTAACATTTTTGCTGTTTTGTTATAAGTAATAAGTAAGTTTATTGCATAATTACCCAATAAGCACAAGCTAGCCGGCCCGCATACGGCCCGAATACGTTTTGCCGAATCGAGCGCGTGCGGCCCACACACGTATTTCTTCCGGCGTGTAGAACGGGCATGTCCGCCTGGCCTAATGTCGGCTATGTTTACTCGGCCGAGTGTCGGCTGTGTATAGTTGGCCGAGTGCCGGCCACAACCGCCTAGCCATTCAAAAAAAGCCTACAGACGTTCTGGAGAGGTATATCCTATAAGTTTAGTCCTGAAATTCTCTGAATGGCAAGATACTTTTTTAACACACTCGACTAGCTAGACATTATTCGTTACTGAGCAGATGAGGATGGAGATGGGGACTCCAAACAATTAATGTTCAGCTATGCCATTAAGGACGCACACTTTCAACTAAATATTGCAACCAATCGCTATTTATAGTTAGCTCTAGCCGTAGGCGGGCCGGCTAGGGCAAGCCGAAGGATTTTAGAACATGTCTAAACGGTTCCGAGGTAACATAACGCGGGCCGTAAGCGGGCCGGCTGGGGCAAGCCGAACCGCCGGTTACCGCCTATGCCGAACGAAGGCCGACTGTTTGCCGAATGTTTCGTGCTTACTGGGTACCTATATAATAACATATATGTAAGGTGTAATAATTATAACAATTATAATTTTTTACTTGCTTTCATTGTTGCCACTGTACGTTTTATAGTTTCTTTTTATATACGCAAATATTCATCTAACCATTTTTCCAAACAATTGTTCCAAAAACAACAACACATGTGTTCTAGACGCAATATCGATTTTCTAAGCTGACCCACAATCCACACAACTGGTCTGTTCGATCACTGCAACAATGCACATCATACAATGGCGGCCATTTTTGTTGTTTAGAATTCTTGTGCTTTGTGTCTGTACAGATTAATAATCGTTTTAAACGTTTCTTACAGAGAGACTTGCAAGCCTTAAAAGAGACCTCAAAGTGGTAAGAACAATCATTTTACTCTTCTTTTGTAAAAAATAAACCTTATTCTATCAGGGCTGTCAAATGTCAATTTGAAGGTTAATTTAAGGTTATTTTATAACCCACAAATTAGCACTAAAACAGTGTATATAAATACTTTTCTTTGTGTTTTCTTTGCAATAACCAAATACAACATCTCTGAATAATTCCGGATATTTATTTTAATCGCTTCCAGAAGAATCCCAAATTTTGTATTAGTTAGACTTTCCGACTTAATTAGTCTTATTCTGACTTAATAAGACTTATTCAGAGTTTTTAAGAGAAAGTAAGACTTTTAAAATTCTTACTTTTACTTATTAAAACTTTTTCAGAAAAAAATTTCCGCAAGGGCAAATTAAAAAATTATAATTCCTAATTCTCACCCAAATATTTCCACATCGACGCAAAACTCAAAGCGGTTATAAAAGCGTCGTAACCAGCCTCGTGTTCTTTATAGTCGTTGATTTGGTAACTTTCCGCCCCCTCTTCGATTTCTACGCATAAATTAAATATTAATGTAAAAAAAATAATGCCAAAAATAAATTTTTCGCTCCCAAAAACCTACCAAAAGATATGTTACCCCACATCCTTAACTCTGACATCCAAACAAACAGGGTGTAATATATCGTTTTATAGGTTTTTGAGGTCATATTTTTAAGCTTAGAAGATATACTTGCCATGTGCTGGCATTTCAAATGGCGTAGCCGACACAGTATCGAGTACGTTTTTGAGCACTGTGGAGGGAATTAAGTCTTTTATTTTCTCGGAACTCGACATGTATTTTGTATCTACAATCCTAAAATATTTTCTTGTGATTCCTTTTACGTACCTAATACAATCATCAGACAGAATTTTAATGTTAATTTCCTCGCCTGAGATGGCTTTAAAACAGTGTATTTTCCTTAATAACAAAGATAATAACGTAAATAAAAAAAACAAAATGTTCAGAAAAGATATATCTCTTAATAATATTACAGTATGAATTTAATTGACATCCGCTGTAAGCTAAAAACAATTTTTATTTTTCGAATTTTTAATAAAGTAGGTGCTCAAAATGGTGGCCTTCGACTTCAATGCACTTAATAATTCGAATTTTAAATGAGCCCACACAAGTAAGTAGCGTATCTGCTTGAATTTCGGCAAAAGCATTTCTAATTCCTCAATCATATTTTCACGGGTTGTTGGTACTTGTTGATACATACGGTCTTTGAGATGGCCCCACAAAAAAATCCGGCGAACTGAGATGAGGTACTGTTACTATAAGTTTAATTTTATTTCATGTTTTTTTCATGGATAACTTGACAGAATAAATTTTTGTAGTTATTATTGTGCATTTTCTACTTAAAAGGGGGTAGCGGGTTAAGGGGGGTCTGGCGGCCCCCACCGAATCTGGTAAAATCGTTCCAAAAATCTTGAAGAGGGTCGAAAAACAAGCAGTATAAGCTTTTTACCGACATTACAACCCCAAAAGAAAACACAGTAATGGCGAAAAATATGATTTTTTGTGATTTTTATTTTTTTCACCCAGTTTAATTTATTTTTAAATGGTTTAAACGCAATTAAAAAACTGTTTTGGATGTATGGTAGTCCACTGAATTTTTTCAGATTTTTTGGTCAAGTAAAAACATGTGAATTTTAGGTTTAAATGCGAAAAAATCGTGAAAAACGCGTCATTTTCAAGATTCAACCCTCTAATTTTTAGGGTTGTTTTCATTTTCCCGAGGGGTGCTGTATAGTATAGATAGCGGCAATCGTCCTCTTTTGAATGCAGGCAACTGGACTCAATTTGGTCAATTCTGGTGAGCGGGGCGATTTTTTGAAAAAAAACTCGAATTTTCAACTTTCGGTAAATTACGGCGCGTACTTGGTATAATGCGTCTTTGCTATAAAAAATACATCTCTATAGGGGTTTTTGAGGTCGCTGATCACGAAGTTGATGTAAAAAAAAATTTTTGACAACAAATTCACCCATAAATATTTATTAACACAGGTTTGATAATGTAAAAAATATCATTGAATCACAGCATTTAAACAATTTTAATATCGCGACAAATATCTTTGTTGTCAAAAAATTTTTTTGACATCAAATTCGTGATCAGCGACCTCAAAAACCTCTATGGAGATGTATTTTTTATAGCAAAGACGTATTATACCAAGTACGCGCCGTAAATTACCGAAAGTTGAAAATTCGAGTTTTTTTTCAAAAAATCGCCCCGCTCACCAGAATTGACCAAATTGAGTCCAGTTGCCTGCATTTAAAAGAGGACGATTGCCGCTATCTATACTATACAGCACCCCTCGAAAAAATGAAAACAACCCTAAAAATTAGAGGGTTGAATCTTGAAAATGACGCGTTTTTCACGATTTTTTCGCATTTAAGCCTAAAATTCACATGTTTTTACTTGACCAAAAAATCTGAAAAAATTCAGTGGGCTACCATACATCCAAAACAGTTTTTTAATTGCGTTTAAACCATTTAAAAATAAATTAAACTGGTTGAAAAAAATAAAAATCACAAAAAATCATATTTTTCGCCATTACTGTGTTTTCGTTTGGGGTTGTAATGTCGGTAAAAAGCTTATATATACTGCTTGTTTTTCGACCCTCTTTAAGATTTTTGGAACGATTTTACCAGATTCGGTGGGGGCCGCCAGACCCCCCTTAACCCGCTACCCCCTTTTTCAATAAAATTTAGTATAGAGTCGTTTTAAGGGGTGGTGAATCCAGTGAGGTGCTTAGGTTTTGTTTAAAAAAAAACGGTAATATGAATTCTTAAAAATTTACAGAGAAGAAATCGAACAAAATTGATTTTTTTATTACAGCACCCTTTTACAAATATGAAAAAAGTTTTAGACAAAATCTACCCATTTTTTCAATTGGAAATTTTCAAGTTACCCCATGCCCTCCCTATAAGGATGAGAGTATGGGGAATAATTTTGGTACTAATTTATTTCCCCCCTCAAATCATTTAATTTTTATTTTAATTTTTTCCCGTAAAATTCCTATTTACTGAGATATTTCCAAGTTCCAAGTTAAAAATGTCTACCAAATAATTGTTATGGAAGAGTCAAGCTAAAAAATATATCAAAATAAGACGAATAGTCTGCGAGGAAATCAACATTAAAATTGTTGCCAATTTCTGGCGAGTGTATAATAAAATCTTACATTGGAAATATCGCTGACGTAAGCTGCTTGAACTCCTGATAATCTTCCGGCAAAGGAGTAATAAACTTATCTATTGTATGCAAAATATCCAAGCACAAGTTGTGTCCGATTATCAGTTTACCGGATTCCCTAACCATTTTCAGAACCTTACTGAAACCCACGTAACTGTCGAAAGCTTCCAAAGCTTCTTCGTATTTTTTCCGTTCGATTTCTTCCTCCTCTTCTTTGGTTCGCATTTTGTAGGCGAATAAAACTCTGTCTTTGTCCATCTGGCGAGTTTCCACGTTCAGACGGTCGCCGAACTTTTCGGCGGCCGTCTGGTAGACGAGGCGCCTTGCGAAAGCATTGCATCGAGGTAGCTGAACTTCCGTATCGTTCGATTCGAGAAAATTGTCCAAAATTTTCCTACAATCGAAAAATAAATAATTGCACTTCTCTGAATCAATGAAAGTGCATCTTTTGTTGTACCGCTCAGAAAAAGTATTTCCTGTTCCCTCAAGCACAAGCTAATGTAGTGCTTAAATTAATGAGTGTCTAGAAACGTTTATAAACGAGGTGCATACTATACTTTTTCTACGACAAATACTTAATATTATGTTAAAATGATTTAAATCAAATATTTGTATAGAGCGCCATCTATAAAACAATAGGGGAATCTGAGTTACCGTCAAATGTCAAATTTGTATGTATAAACATAGATTATAAAGGTAAGAAATCGAAATGTATTCCTTGAAGTTCAATGTTCATATAAACTTTTCAACAGTGGCGGCTGGTGGATTTTGGGTATACCAATATCTCAGATATTAAACAAATTTATAATAGTTTATAATGACATTAAATAGATAAGTTCGACGCAAACAGAATTTAAATTGAAGTTTGCCAAAAAAGTTAGTTTTTCCTTTTATTATTTATTTAATTAAAATAAAAAAATATTTAAAATCGTATAAAATTTGTACACAGCTTTTCAAATATTAGCGTTGAGAAACTATTTAATACTTTTATATTTTTGTATTGAGATAATAAAATAAATTTTACATTTAGTATTATTTTAAAAGAAAGGCACTTTATTTTAACGATTGTATGACATTTGACAACTGTCAACTCACTTAAAGCTAACTTCAGCCCGTGACTAAAAACGCTTGCGCTTCGGGTTTGTGCTGTTTATACAGATTAATAATCGTTTTAAACGTTATGTTTTTTACAGAGGCACTTGTAAGCATAAAAGAGGTCTTGGAGTGTAAAATCAAACTGTCAAATGTCAATTTTAAGGTTAATTTACCATAATCCACTAATAAACCTTAAAATTTACATTTGACAGTTTAATGATAGCTCTGCTAGAATAAGGTTTATTTTTTACAGAATAGGAGTAAAATGGTTTCCCAATCTTTATGAAATTTTGTATAAGAATACTTCAACTAATATCTCAGTTTACGTGTTTGAGGGTTTTTCGAGAAAATATTTTTAAAGCCATTTTATTTTATATTAAGAAAACGCTCAAAAAAAACTTTTATAGGGAATTTTTTTGAAGTAAATAAAAAATATGCTGTTAAAGACCGTATTTTTGTTAGTATACCCCGGTATACCCTGAAAATTTTGTACAAATCAAACGAACAGTAACGAAGATACACCGCTTCAAAGTGGTAAAAATGACCCCTTTTTGATTATTTTGCTGAAAAGTGGTCATTTTTACCGACTTTGAAGCGCTGTATCTTCGTTATTGTTCGTTTCATTTGTACAAAATTTTCAGGTTATACTAACAAAAATACGGCCTTTAACCGCATATTTTTTAATTACTTAAAAAATTCCATACAAAAGTTTTCTTCGAGCGTTTTTTTAAATATTAAATAAAAGGACTTTAAGGATATTTTTTCGAAACACCCTTGAACACGTAAACTGAGATACCTATAAGTATTTTTATCCAAAATTTTATAAAGATTGGTAAAGGCGTTTTAGAGTTAGAATTTTTTACTTATTATGCGTTAATTTCTGTGGTTAATTTTGACGGGCTGTGTATTATAATATTATTTGTTTCACTTATTTTGTTGTAATACAAGAATCAAGATATTAAAAAACAAAAAAGGTAGACAGGTTTCAATTTTCTTATCACTTAATACTTATTCCCAATTCTTATTATTATTAAATCAAAATCGTCCAATTTTGTCCACTTGGACGAATTTAACCAACCATGTTTAATTTGTAGAAACAGCATAAACCTAAAGCACAAGAATTGTAAACAATATAAAATTGACCGCCGTTAGAGTCTGTGCAGTGAATGCCTAACTTGTTGTGTGGATTGTGATTCTGCCATTAACTGCAGTTATGTTATTTACTTATTACTTATTACTTATTTACTTATCAAACTCTAGAGATACTAAAGTTCTTTTTATTAAGATTTTTTGGCCTTTAGATACTTAAGTTGTTTTTTTTATTCGATTATGTTGGTACTATATTTAAATATACTTTGCTATTTTTAATACTTAAAATTGGTACTGACATTTTTGTTTAAATGTTAGAATTATAATTAACAATGGCAAAGATAACAGAATATTATAAAAAAAATTCAAACACAAAATGAATTTGATGAAATAATTAATTTGGGCTGCATAAATCCACCAAGTAGTTTTGTTTTACTCAATGTAGCCAATTATAAAATTTTTATAAAAAACAAATTAATTTTTAAAATTATATAAAAAGGCACCAATAAACCGTTTTATATCCTTAAATTTTACAGATATTTAATAATATAATTAATATTTTTTACTTACACGACATCATTAATAAAATTCTCTAAATTATCAGGAATAGGAATACTATCCCTATTAGGATTGAGTCTCAAAACAGCAGAATTTTTCCTTTTTTCCTCAAGATTGATTTTCCATTTTTCCTCCTCTACAGAGTTTAAATAGGAAATGCCTTCTTTAAACAATTTATTAAAATCAAACCCTTGAGTAATGAGAAAATCAATGCTTGATGTTTGACACAAAAATCTTTGATCCGGTATATTTTTATCATATGGTTTACGGAAGATGTAGAAATTGTAGCTTTGGTGCTTAAAAGTATCACACTCGGAATCATACCTAAAAACAATTGTGTAAAAACCTCAAAGTTAAAAACATAATACCAACCTAAATATGCTCAATCCATACTGTATAACTAGAAAATCCCTACTGTTAACTCTAACCTTATTGTAATACTCAGCAGGTGTATCGAAAGCATTTATATTACGAGCTACATTGAGCCCAGTCAGTTCACAATCGATGCTCATAAAAGAACTATTTTTTATGGACTCTTTTATTTTAGGGAGCACCTCGTTAAAATCTACGGATATAACATTATAAATCATAGTTTCTCTATGTTATAATGCATTAGAGACTTAAATACTTACTAGACTTGGTAACATCCATTTTGACGTTGTTTTACAGTAATTACACTTAAATAACTAAAGTTGGTTGTTTTTTGCAACAAATAACCCTTATATAATCCTGAAAACAACCAAAAGTAACAAATAAAACGCTCATAAAATGACCAAAACACTAAAATTGAGGTTAGTTTTAATAAACAGTATTAGTTCAGTGGGAAACCCATAGTTGGCGCATGTATGTATGGCGCCAATTTCAAGAAGGCAAATCAAGAAACACATATTTTGTATAAAAATCGTTTATTTATAAAATTTAATCTTCATCAGAGGTGCTGGAATCCATACTTCTTATGTATTCATCAATTTTTTCCTTTAATTCAGTATCTTCGACCAACCCCTGTCGAGTTAATAAATCCTTGTTGCAACCAATGTATGGGCATTTGGCTCTCTGTTGCATGGATTTTATGTACCCAAATATGGAGTCTTTTTCGTATACGTGTCCGCATTTTTTGTTTTTGTATGGGTTTTGTATTTTTCCCTTTGAAATTGGATCAACAGGTGGTTTGAAGACGTCTGCAAATTGTAGGGAATCATTGACTTCCACATATTGTGAGGCTTTGTATTTTTTCTCTTTTGTAACGATTTCGCGTACGGATTTCTCGTTTTCGAATAAGTTCAGCCAGATATCGTTTTCCATGTAGTTTTCTTCAGAGTCGTCTTCCTGCATTATTCTTTTAAATATTTCCTGTGCATCCTCGTCATTCTCCTTATCCTTGAGGGTATCCTCCAACTTATTCAAAGCGTCAAAGGTTTTTCTCGTGTTAAACTCAATTTCACAGTAATCCTTCGCTATATTTTTAAGCTTTGCCATTTCTCCATCCTGATCATCTTCTAAATTCTGATCGATTAATTTCTTACATAACGATAGAGATTTAACGCAGCTATCCAACAAGGAATTGTATCTACTGGAATCCAAGTTTACAGCGCTTTGTGAAGTCATTTTTAACAAAATTTGTACTTGTTGATTTATTACATAACCTCAATAAACACGCAGATTTGCTTCGCAGAATGACAAGTGAAGAAGAAGATTAACCTTAAATAATAGCGGTTTGACAGTGTTTCAGTTTTGAAGCGTTTTGTTGTTATAAATGGTAAAACAAAGTATTTATAATGGTTGTCTGCAAGTTTTTTTTGCAAGGGACGTGTAAATTCGGCAATACGTGTAAATTTGATCACACCCTATCAGGTAACATCAGTAACTTTATAATAATTATTAAACTTATAAGTATACTTTTTTTGGTATTTTTTTCAGATCCTTATCATTATGTGAACCCCAATGCAGGGGGTGGTACCTCAATACTTAGACAGCCAGCAGCAGCATATGTAAAACCTAATCAAACCTCAGCACCAATTGATACAGCCACTCTCGTCAAGTCTGTTGTAAACGAGGCTATAGCTGCTGAAAAAGGTGGACAATGGCCTTTAACGTGTTACGCGCCTTTCAAAGAAAAACCGGCCTTTCCTGGTTTGGAGGATACGAGTTTTGAGGAGGTCAGATTGGGTTTTTATGAGGCTAGAGATAATGGTGCTCTGGATCAATATGTAAGTTAAATATTTTTTGATTTTGGATTGTTCTGTTATTTTTGGTGTGTTTTTTGTAGACCAGAAAAATACAGGAGATGTTACAGACTAGAATGATGCAATTAAAAGCTTTGCAAAACCCTTCGCCTGATATAGTAAAAATTTTACAAAATATATACGATACTCCCGTTAATGGCGCCAATAATTTTGCTGGGAATGCATTTCCCTCACCAACAGCAAATAATACGCCTTTTGGCGGGAATTCCAACAAGCCATTTGTACAAACCACCAACAGTGTCTTTGGAGGTAATAGTACATCTGTTTTTGGAGGTTTCCCTCAAAATTCTCAAGTGGGAGGTTCCATATTTCAAAATGCAGCACCTCAACAAAGCACCTTTCAACCTCAACCCCAACAATCGATTTTTGGAGGTCAAACAACCTCACCTTTTGGAAGCGCGCCTCAAAGCAATGCGTTTGGAGGTAGCCCTCAAAATACCGCCTCAATTTTTTCTCCCACCCCTTTCGGTCAAACTACAAACAGTATTTTTGGAGGAAATCAACCTCAACCGCCTCAACCTCAACAAAGTGGTATTTTTGGGGGAAATCAACCTCAACCGCAACCTCAACAACCAAGCGGTATTTTCGGGGGTAATCAAACACCTCAACAAGCAAGCGGTATTTTTGGAGGTAATCAAAACCCTCAAAGTACAGGTGGAAGTATTTTTGGGGGTAATCAACCTCAACCTCAAACACAATCGGTTTTTGGGCAAAATTTCGCACAAAACCAGGCTCAACTAGCACAACCTCAAAATCCATATGGAGGCCCTCAAGCGTTTGTGCAACCCCCTCAAAATCAACCCCAAGCTTTTGCTCAAAGTCCTTTGACGCAAACCACTCAAAGTGTTTTCAAGCCTGTCTTTGGTGGAACTCCAAACGTTCCAGCAAGTACTTTTGAAGTCGACGCCTCTATTTACTCGAAATTTGAGGATTTATCGCCAGAGGAGGTCGACTGGTTTAGGAGGGAAAATTTTGATGTTGGTTCTATACCTGAAAAACCACCTACTTATGAGATGTGTCACCAATAGACTGAATGATGTGTTAAAGCTGTGAATAAATTATTAAAAGTAAGTGTTTATTGTAAAATATTTGTTTATTAAAATATTCTATTTTTATATATTTTTTAAAATATACCTTTATAATATCCTAGATGTCCCAACTTATAAGTAAAGTAAGTTATAAATTATTTGCGTTGTTTTAGCTTGATTAAAAAATCTGTTAAATCATTAAGCAATTAAATATTAATTGTTTCAATGGGATTAAAACGTTTATAAATATGTAGGTGTAGATCAATATTACATATATTTTGCGTGTAAATAAAAATCAAGAACGTTTTATTTAGATGATTCATTATTATAAAATTCTAAAGCGTTTAAAAAATATAAGTAATGGTGTTAAATACAACAAATTAAGTGTTCAAATCTAATTGAATTTTAGATATGGATAAGTTTTTTTCTATTGATTACAGAACAATTGTTTATTGTTTTAAGTAATTGGCTTAATTTTACAGCAAAGTCGTTTTAATTATTGAGCAATTTGTCGGCCAAAAAAAGTTCGATGGCAAAAACTGAAATTTAACGTATTTAGTTTCTAAAAAGGTTGAGGGCGCTAAAGTCTTATCCCTTAAAAATCGAATAAAAACTAAAAACTTTTAACATATTTTGTTTTCTATATTTTCCTTGTACGTGTGTACAAAATATGATTCAATTTACAGAGCGAATTATTTAATTATATCAATTTTTTACTTCAACGTCAATTAATGTATTAATGATCATGAAACATGGAACACCCAGTTGAGTAATAATTGTCATAATAATATGGTACACTAACTTTGTGTATTACACTGTAATTATATGTTTAGTTTTAATGTGGAAGTGGATTTTAGAAGGTTTGCGATTTAAACTTTAAAAAATAAAACTCATATTTTTTTTATACTTTTACTAATACATATATAGATATTAAATAGAATATTTTGTAAGATTTGGGGTTTACCTCGCAAGAATATCATAAACAATACAAGTGTTTCCATATGAATAAATATTTGAGTTAATTAACAACTACTAGAGTACATTTAATTACAATATAATATTATTAATTTAAGTATATAAGTATTATATTTATTTAAAATAGAGAAGGTACCTTTGTTCATTAGCGGTTGTCATCGTTCATTACGTTATTTGTACTGCATATTATTAACTATTTGAGTAAAAGTAAAATTAAAATTAAATTAAATTTTTTCGTGATGTTTTCTCGTTGTTCGTTTAAGCCATCTTTAGTTTCCTGGGGAAGCTCAAAATGTTGGCAAAACTGAAAATAAAGAAAAACATATTCAATAAAAAAAATTAAATCTTGTGAAACAATTTGATTGTATTTAAATACTACGTTACGAAATCCTTGTTAAACAATTAATATTTGTGGGTATCACTTAAGCAAACCACTATAAAAAACTGTTCTAAGCAGTCTACAACCCAAATTAATTAAAATTTCGCAACCACATTTAAATATTGGTAATGCAAATTTGAATTATTGTCGCTTACCTCAATTTTTTCAAGTCATTGGAACCAGCGCACACTTGTGCGACTAGGATGGCCAATAAAATAGCTTGAATAGTGTTTGATAGGTAGGAAGAGTTTAAAGATTTTGTTGTTGTTAGATCGTCCATGTCATTTCTGAACGTACGGACGTCGTTTAAAGAAATTGCAGAACGCATGGTGTTAGTTTCTTGTTCTTGTCGTAGATTTTCTTGTACTTCACGTCGGGCTTCACCACGAGATTCTTCACGTGATTCGTCTTGTACTTTGGTATCTCGTTGTCTGGGAGATTCTCGTCTTTCTTCGCGTGAAACGTCTCGTACTTCACGCCTGGATCGTAAACGAAGGACTTTTAGAGGTGATTCTCGCCTTTCCAAGAGAGAATCTTCACGTACTTCACGGCTAGCTAAGGATTCTTGCCTTTCGGCACGTTTAGCAGAAGATTTACGCCCTTCGGAAAGGTCTTCGCGTTCCCTTGTGTTCTTACGGGATTCTCTACGAGATTCGTCTTGTACTTCACGTCGGGCTTCAGTATCTCGTTGTCTGAGCGATTCTCGTCTTTCTTCGCGTGAAAGGTCTCGTTCTTCACGTCTGGATCGTAAACGAAGCACTTGTAGGGGTGATTCTCGCCTTTCCAACCGAGAATCTTCACGTACTTCACGTCGGGCTTCAGTATCTCGTTGTCTGGGAGATTCTCGTCTTTCTTCGCGTGAAAGGTCTCGTACTTCACGTCTGGATCGTAAACGAAGCACTTGTAGAGGTGATTCTCGCCTTTCCAAGCGAGATTCTTCACGTACTTCACGGCGAGCTAAGGATTCTTGCCTTTCGGCACGTCTAGCAGAAGGTTTTCGCCTTTCGGCAAGGTTTTCGCGTTCTCTTGTGTTTTCACGAGATTCTCTACGAGATTCATCTCGTACTTCACGTCGGGCTTCAGTATCTCGTTGTCTGGGAGATTCTCGTCTTTCTTCGCGTGAAAGGTCTCGTACTTCACGTCTGGATCGTAAACGAAGCACTTGTAGAGGTGATTCTCGCCTTTCCAAGCGAGATTCTTCACGAACTTCACGGCGAACTAAGGATTCTTGCCTTTCGGCACGTCTAGCAGAAGGTTCTCGCCTTTCGGCAAGGTTTTCGCGTTCTCTTGTGTTTTCACGAGATTCTCTACGAGATTCATCTCGTACTTCACGTCGGGCTTCAGTATCTCGTTGTCTGGGAGATTCTCGTCTTTCTTCGCGTGAAAGGTCTCGTACTTCACGTCTGGATCGTAAACGAAGCACTTGTAGAGGTGATTCTCGCCTTTCCAAGCGAGATTCTTCACGAACTTCACGGCGAACTAAGGATTCTTGCCTTTCGGCAAGTCTAGCAGAAGGTTCTCGCCTTTCGGCAAGGTTTTCGCGTTCTCTTGTGTTTTCACGAGATTCTCTACGAGATTCATCTCGTACTTCACGTCGGGCTTCAGTATCTCGTTGTCTGGGAGATTCTCGTCTTTCTTCGCGTGAAAGGTCTCGTACTTCACGTCTGGATCGTAAACGAAGCACTTGTAGAGGTGATTCTCGCCTTTCCAAGCGAGATTCTTCACGAACTTCACGGCGAACTAAGGATTCTTGCCTTTCGGCACGTCTAGCAGAAGGTTCTCGCCTTTCGGCAAGGTTTTCGCGTTCTCTTGTGTTTTCACGAGATTCTCTACGAGATTCATCTCGTACTTCACGTCGGGCTTCAGTATCTCGTTGTCTGGGAGATTCTCGTCTTTCTTCGCGTGAAAGGTCTCGTACTTCACGTCTGGATCGTAAACGAATCACTTGTAGAGGTGATTCTCGCCTTACAAAGCGAGATTCTTCACGTACTTCACGGCTAGCTAAGGATTCTTGCCTTTCGGCACGTCTAGCAGAAGGTTCTCGCCTTTCGGCAAGGTTTTCGCGTTCTCTTGTGTTTTCACGAGATTCTCTACGAGATTCATCTCGTAATTCACGTCGGGCTTCAGTATCTCGTTGCCTGGGAGATTCTTGTCTTTCTTTGGGTGAAAGGTCTCGTACTTCACGTCTGGATCGTAAACGAAGACCTTGTAGAGGTGATTCTCGCCTTTCCAAACGAGATTCTTCACGTGCTTCACGGCGAGCTAAGAATTCTTGCCTTTCGGCACGTATAGCAGAAGATTCTCGCCTTTCGGCAAGGTTTTCAAGTTCTCTTGTATTCTCGCCGGATTCTCTCCGAGATTCCTGTTGTACTTCACGACGGGCTTCAGTATCTCTCTGTCTGGGAGATTCTCGTGTTTCTTCACGTCTTGATCGTAAACGAAGCACTTGTAGAGGTGATTCTCGCCTTTCCAAGCGAGATTCTTCACGTCTGGTATTTTCTCGAGATTCTTCTCTACCTTGGCGGGGCCTTCTGGATTCTAACATGGTGTTTCTTCTTGTATCTTCAATGTTTTCTCTAGAATATTCAACCCGCATGTTATTATTACGTTCTTTTGCTGCTTCTCTTGATTTTTGACGGTTATTTGAGTCCTCATTAATGTCCCTTAGAGCATTTTGTCTTAAATTTCTTGTCTCTCTGACATTGTAGTTTCTTCTGTTATCAGACTCCCTTAAGGATCTTTCAAAGAATCGTTGAACGTCGTCTTTTTCTTCATTGATTTTGGAGTCTCTTAAATGTCTTACGTCATCTAGATTGCTTTTAATTTCGGCACGCCCTTCATCCTTTAAAAATCCTTCGGTTAACTTCAAACAAATAACAATCAGTATACAAGCGGTTATGCAGACTTTCTTGAACGGCTTCATGGTTGTGGCGCAAACTAAAAACTTCTCTCTATTTTTCAAAATGTGACTTGTATGGTTGTATTCGGTATAACGTTCGTTTGGGGCGGCAAATTTCTTTCTGTGCCGGGACAAGAAGTCGAACGGGGTTTTATAGCGTTCAGGGTGGATTATTTTGCGGTTCAGTGGCTAAATTCTCATTTGAATTCAATCGCCTGAAAATTAAGGTGATGATGGAGTTTCGCACATGTGTCTCGCTGATATTGAGGAAATTACGGGACGCCCACAATGGTTTTTTTTTTACCTAACTCACTAAGTAACTAACACATATATTTAACTGTTTTTGGATTGGCTGTATCATTGGATTTTCATTAGTTTTTAATATCTTTCTAGTGTGTCTAGGTAATAACGATCGTTAGTTATTATTGGCGCACATTTCAGTGGTTTTGAATGGAAATTCGATCAGTTTTAAATTACATTCATTGAAGCACACATGCTACCCCATTTAACAGCCCTTATCTGCCCCAACCACGCAGCCTCTGCGTCCACCCAAACCTACGTCATGAGAAGACATTGTGCTAAAAATTTAAATCAAATTAGAATATAAATAATACAGGCAACGTCGCACATGGATCAATCGGCGGAAAAAATACATTTTAATAAGTTTTTATTTTTGGTAATTTTATCACGTCAATTTGTTAAAAACACCTTAAACCATTAGTTGTAGTAAAAAAAATTAGATACGAGTAACTTCTGTTTTAATTTTATGAACTCTCAAAGTGAAGGTTGTTTAAAACTCAAATTCTGAAAATACGTCAGGAAGATTTTTCAAAAATCCAACCTTAGTTTCTGAAATAACAAAGGTTGATTTAAAATTAATTACCAGATTCCAAATTATACTTGAAGCTATAACTGGTGACAGATTAATATCTCCAACTAAATTTGGAATTTATGCAGCAAAAATAGTTGTTTGTAAAGATGTATCCATGGTACTACATGCCAGTAAACGTACATAAATTGTTAATTCATGGCAAAGAGGTTATGGAAAAAATATGATTGCCAATAGGGCTTCTTTCAGAGGAAGCACAAGAATCCCGAAATAAGGATTTAAAAAAATGTATGTACATGTACATCTGCAGATTCTCAAAAAAATATTAACATCTGACCCTATCATAACATTAATAATAATAATAATAATTAATAATAATAATAATAATAATTAATAATAATAATAATTTAATAATAATAATTTTATTTCTTATAAATATACACATAAGAATATACACATATTTACAGAAATATAGTCAGCATAAACAGATTAACAAATTGATAGAAATAAATATTAAGGCACATAATTAAAATATTCATCCAGAGTATAGGGTTCTATTTCGATTAAGTATTCCAATATATATTTTTTATACTCTTTAAAACATCTACACTTTTTAATATGTAAACCATACCAATAAACATTTTTGACGTAATTTTCACCATTAACATTGCCCGTTGTTATTTTAATTAAACTTAACAATTATTGAAACTTTAAAGTAGGTAATAAAATAATTTCAAAATATGATATGATATGATAGTACCCAAGTTAAGAAAATATTTTATCCTTTGATTGGTTTTATTACTATAATTGTAAAATATTATCAGGAAGTATTAAATACAAATTCTTACACAAGAAATGTTAAAAGTGCAAAAAGTGACAGTTGTATTTATTGGAATTCCCGTTAGAATTTCTAACTTGGGAATCTATCGGCCTTAAAAACTTAAATTAAAAAGAGAAGAGAATGTTTTATGGGCACTGTACGCAAAATTTTTAACGCTTTATCAGTTAAATCTAGTTAACTGCACTACTACGGCGAAATCAAAAGGTCAGTACAAACATTCATATAATCTTTTCAAATATTGGCGTCATAAAATTATTTTTTATTGAGATAATAAAATAATTTTTATATTTAGTATTATTTTACAAGAAAGGCACTTTATTTTAACGATTGTTTGACATTTGACAACTGTCAACCAACTTAAAACTCAGCCCGTGACTGAAAACCTGTTGCCAACTTCAGCCCTTGACTAAAGCGCCATAAAGCCACAACTTGTCAATGTGTATTTAAAAGGTCACTTAGTGTCATGGAAACATGTACGATAATGGGCGTTTTAAAGGTGGGAGCAGAAAAAATTAGTTAATGATATTTTAAACTATTTTATTATTTAATTTTATAAAATCCACGCGAAAAATTCAAAAACGTATTAAAATAATAAAAACTCCTATTTTTTCAATTAAAATATAGTCAATTATACGTAAAAAGTAGATATGGTATTTTAGGTTGCAAAATATATAAAAATAGGTACCTAAATAGGTCATGTTTTTTCTTGTTTGAGGTGAGAAAACTCTTAAATTAGGTACATACTTTACGAAACTAAGTACTGAAAAGCAACTTTTAGGTATAAAATTGTATTGAAAAAGATTTTGTATGATTTGAAAAATTTAAAAATAACTGACGAAATTATCTAGTAAAAATATTATAATAGGTACCATCAAAAATTTTATATTTTTTTAATGCGGCAGCACATTTAAAATGTTTTTGTTAATAAGCATACCTACAATTCCGGAAAATAACAAAAACATTCATTATGATAGAAATGTTTTTAGTTGCAATTATGTCATCTGAATACAACGCCAATATTACAAAAAAGCATGTTTTTTATGGTAAAATTTGAACATTTAGTTCATTTTTGTTAAAAATAAGACTTTAGGTGAAATAGGTAAAATTACACTAGTTTAGGTAGTAAAATGTATAAATTAGGTCCATTTCTCTTAAAAATGAAAATTTAGGTAAAATAAAATCAGGCTCAAATGAAATCATTTTCTTCAAAACGGATTTACTTAACACTTAAAATAAAAAATGAAATATTTATTTGTAATAAAAAAGTTTTTAATTATTTCCGCAAAACGGTGGTTTTTGACCATTGCGCGTCGTTACCGTTTTTAAATGACTATTTCCCTCGTCTTAATATCCACCAATGACAAACGCGCAATTTTGAATTACAAATGGTTTCTAGGTGAAAAAACTGTGTGACAGCACCTGTCAGCAGTTTTTTCGAGTTTACCCGCGGCAAAACTTGACAGCTGTTGTCACCAAAAATTGCAATTTATATTTTAATTGTTAACTGTTACTCATGAAATAGTCTTGTCAAATACCATTCGGGCATCTAATTTTTCCTGTGAAAAAAATCGAAAAAACACAATGCTAAGTAATATTTTTGAACAAAAAGCATTCGTGCAGGTGCAAAAATCCTCCTCTTCGACTCAGATTTTTGTGGCCACCAGCACTCATGCTTTTTGTTAAAATATCACTTAGCAACGTGTTTTTTCGATTCTTTTCGGAAAAATTAAATGCCCTTATGATATTACTTACGAAAATATATTTGATAATTAACACCCTGTAAATTAAGTTTTTGTCAAACAGTCAAAAATGTTCATTTTTCCCGGCGCATTCACCATTTTTTGCAAAAATATTTATAGTCCCAAAAAGGCTCTCACACGTCAAAATAAAAATTCTATACAAAACCCAACCTATAATTTTAATTTTATTATCCATTATTCCATAGGAATAATGGATAATTTTTTTCTCTCTGCATTCGATGGTAGCCACTTATGTTTATATAAATGACTGATCCTTAAATATCCAAAAAGTCTTCATTTTGTAAACACATATTATGACTATAATATGTTTCCCATTAAATATTGACAGAAAACTTTTTTCTCTTCAATAAATATTTTCTTTAGATTGCGACGCGGCTTGTCGGTAAAAAGATTTACTCGCTTTAAAAGTGGGAGCATTAAGCAAGGTTAAAGTTTACGCTCGGTATATAAAACTTCCGGCGGATTTAGACAAATTGTTATTCGGTGTTTTGTGGTGCATTGTGAAAAATCGATTTATCGAATATCATGAAATTTACTGTAAGTATTGTAACATAAGAAAATTAGGAATTAAGAACCAAAGGCAGTTTTTTTTATTAATTTGTGCTAAATTTTAATATTTATTTGGTGATTTTGTCATTAATAAATAATTATTATAAAACTATTAATATTTTGTAAACAATACAGATTTTAATATGCTTAGGATAGAACACTTAGATAGATGCACTTCATTAAATTACTTAAGTTGTTTTTCTTTAACAAAAATTGTTGTGTTTACGCAATTTAAAATGGAAAATTAAACCACAACAAAGATTTAAAATGCTTTAAAACACTATAGATATTGAAATTAAAAAAACAATCTATATATGGATGCCTTCAAATTGCGTTTTGTATTCACTATAATAATTATTGTTTTCAAAATACACAGAATACAAACGATTTTTTAAGCAAAAAAACATTTTTTTTTGACATAAAATTGCAATTTTCATCTTAACAAAGCCATAATAAAAAAGTAAGAATTTGCTAAAAAAAGATTTTCAAGTTTATTTCAACACCCTGTGAAATTAACTCATTTTGTCGCTCCACTTTTTGCAGGTACTTTATTCTACTTTTACTTTTGTCAAGCATATCTTAGACAAATATTTTACATATGTACATGCAATATTGGTTAACAAAACAAGTATAAATATTATTTATATGTATGTACATTAGGATTATTTACAACTGAAATAACACATAATAGTATATTCTGTAGCAAGTTTGAAATACAGCTCGAGTGAAAAGTTTGTCACACGAGCCGAAGGCGAGTTTGACGGTTTCACGAGAGCGGAATATGCAATTCCAAACGTGTTTCAGACTATACTTTTTCTACTCTCTTAATATGAAATAGTCAAAATTCAACTATTTGAATTAGTACCAGCATTTTTTACTAATAAAATGGTCGTTTTCACTTTTAAGTAGATATTTTTTAATTCTTAAATAGTTAAAGTTTGACTTATTTAAGATAAGTCACCGTCTTTGACTGTTTCTGAGAGTTAAAAGTAACTAATTTCTTTAATCGTTTGCGGCCAACAACAAATTATTGTTTGAGTTAAATGCGTATAGGCTCCATGGTTAAATGGCCCATAAAAAAACAAAGATGCCAAAAGTTTAGATCAAAACAGCAACACAAAAAATATATTCAACTTTA